CCAAAACCTGTCATGCCAAATGAATATTGAATTAATACAAAACGTTTGTTGTCAGGAGATCAATTTCTTTATTGCATTGTGAATCTGGTTCTAGGCGGGTAATTTGCGTGGTGCATATCCATTCATAATGGTATTTTACATAAGATATAGATATCCATTCAGAATGGTATTGCTTTCTAGATATTGATTGGATAATCCAATTTGAATTGCATTAATTGTATAATGCACATTTAAATATTGTTGGTGTATACATGTAATTGAAATATCCATTCAAAATGGTATTTCATTACATGTTTTGTGATTCAAATTAATTTTCTTAATCATTTTCTTGTTAAGTGCCAAAAAGCATTATACATGTTTATCCAATAGATGATTATTTACCAGTATACATATTTATGGCTTATGATATTGTGATCATTTATTTAGAAAAGACCCCTTTTCTCTCGTTACATGAAATTATAAAAAGGTGAAACACATTTTTGCTTTTGCTTTCCTCAAGCAATATAACTTTGAAAGCTTAAGGTATTTTGAAAAAATGTTTGAAATCTAGATGTTTTAATAAGATCATTTGCACAAAAATGTCTGTTAGATACAAGAGCTTGAAAAAGTTCTCAATTTACTTATTTCTAACTTACAAATGTCTGTATATTTTACTTTATATTTTTCATTTGTTATATGTATGTTTTTTTATTATTTATTATTTTCATTTTATTTATTTGTTGAAATGCCAGAAAGGTATTTGTTTTATCAGTATTAAATGCAATAAAATGAAAGTAATGTGTGTTCACTTTTTTCAAGCCGGTCTAATTTGGTTGGCGTTTAATTCCGTTTACACCGGTTAGAAAACTACCTAAGGAAACTCCTAAAATACGGGTGAAATTGATTTCAAAATAGAATCAATTTTACTAGATAAAATCATGTACTATTTAATGACGTGTTGCTGGTTGTAATACATGATTGGTCAAGTTCCATGCAACTGAGATCGGGGGTTTCCGCCACGCATCACGACTGCTTGCTGTTAGGCAATGTCATATAAGTCAACATTTAAATAAAACATTTACAAAAACTGCTTGGTGTCACCATTGAGCGTACAAGGTCAGTCCGTTTTCAGGGGGAGGTAACTCGAGTACAGTGCATAATAATGTTGATATGCCGTTACATTTTATGATTTTGAGAAAATATAGGTATTTTTCTTTTAAAATTAAAAAAAAAATTAAATAAGTGAAAAAGTCCCCAGACATGGATTACAATAAAATCCGATATTTTTTTCCGTTCAGAATACCACTACAGCTGTTTACGATGTGAACAGAGTATGAAGGATGAATGTTCACTTGTTATTTAGAATGTACTCTAGATGGCATCTCGGACCACAAGACCATGAGCTTCATTTCATCCATCATCTTTTTTAAGGTCCTACCAATGATGAAATAGAATCAGTAGTACCAAAAATAATTAGGAAAATAATTCTGAATTTAAACAGTAAAGATAAAAGAATTACCACCACTCTATTTATTTCAGTTTGTAAACATTCCCATCCATTTTCAGTTTATCAACACTAACAGAACAGGAGCAGAAGTGGACTGGCCCGAAAAATTACAATACTTTGTTGGCTTAATAACCTCATCAATTTTCAACTCAATGACTCAAGTGAACTTTAAGAAGAATTTAAAATGTGTCTTTCAAGTTAGTGACCACAATAGATTTCAGATCACCCCAAAAAATAACAACACATTATCAGGACCATTTCAGGCAAGTATGAGCTAAATCCCTACTGTGTTTAGGAAATCCATGATTGATAACCACTTACAAAATGGCCGCCATGGCTGCCATGTTTAATATTTGACCAAAAAGTAACAATATGTCATTGCCTTCCTTTTCTTAACATCCTTGTTAATTTTCAGTTCAATAGCATCAGTGGAACTGAAGCTTAAAATGAGGTTTTTAATATGGTGGCCATGTTGGATTTCAGACAGACCTTTACATATATAACAACAGTTGGTCCAGACCATATCAAGATTATTTAGGGCATGTTTTAGCTGAACTCCAAAAATGAAACATGATAAATTTAAATAGGTGATGTTATAATTGTGCAATTATGTTACAAAATGGCAGTCCTTGTTGCAGTGTGGAAGTTTTGATGAGGCTGAAAAATAACATTTTGTCAGCTTTTTTTCCTTTAATATCTCTACCAATTTGCAGTTGAATTTGAGAAGTTCCAGATGGTGGCCATATTGAATTTTGGACCATCCTGAAAAAAATAACACTTGGCAAGGAAAAGTTCAGGCAAGTTTGAGTTAAATCCCATTGGTGAACCTCAGGAACCTAAAGATGTGCAAAACCTAAGCAGGGCAACAATGAAGAAATACAACGGCAACATTGGTCAGCTTGACCCCTCAAGTGAGATAACCTTACAATATACAAGTAATGGTCAGTCTTGTATGATGGTCAATTTTCGAAATCTGTGTGTCATGTTTGATGATTTGGTCAGTTCTGAGCGATTGTCAGTCTTGTTCGATGATCTTGTACCTTATATATAAACTTTACTTATTTTACAACAATTGCGAAACAACTTATACTAATCACTCTTGTTGGCCCGGGTGTAAGTGCGCGAGGGGTCTTATTTTGTGGGAGGAAACTGGAGTACCCGGGGAAGACCCACGTGGTCGGGTAGGTGACCCCTTACCTTTTCACGTCCGTTCCGGGAATCGAACCCTGGTCGGCTAGGTGAAAGGTGAGTGCGTTACCAATGCACCACCCGACCACCCTAGTACCTTCTATGTGATAGTCATATTTGGTGATTTGGTCTGTTCTGTATAATGTCAGTCGTGGTTGGTGATTTGGTCTGTTCTGTATAATGTCAGTCATATTTGGTGATTTGGTCTGTTCTGTATAATGTCAGTCATATTTGGTGATTTGGTCTGTTCTGTATAATGTCAGTCGTGGTTGGTGATTTGGTCTGTTCTGTATAATGTCAGTCATATTTGGTGATTTGGTCTGTTCTGTATGATGTCAGTCATATTTGGTGATTTGGTCTGTTCTGTATGTCAGTCGTGTTTGATGATTGGGTCTGTTCTGTATAATGTCAGTCATATTTGGTGATTTGGTCTGTTCTGTATGATGTCAGTCATATTTGGTGATTTGGTCTGTTCTGTATGTCAGTCGTGTTTGGTGATTTGGTCAGGTTGGTGTGCACATGATAATCAGTTGTGTGTGATGATAACTCATGTTTTATTATCTGGTCAGTTGTGTGTGATGGTCACTGTTTTATTATCTGGTCAGTTGTGTGTGATGATAACTCATGTTTTATTATCTGGTCAGTTGTGTGTGATGGTCACTCATGTTTTATTATCTGGTCAGTTGTGTGTGATGATAACTCATGTTTTATTATCTGGTCAGTTGTGTGTGATGGTCACAGTTTTATTATCTGGTCAGTTGTGTGTGATGATAACTCATGTTTTATTATCTGGTCAGTTGTGTGTGATGGTCACTGTTTTATTATCTGGTCAGTTGTGTGTGATGATAACTCATGTTTTATTATCTGGTCAGTTGTGTGTGATGGTCACTCATGTTTTATTATCTGGTCAGTTGTGTGTGATGGTCACTCATGTTTTATTATCTGGTCAGTTGTGTGTGATGGTCACTCATGTTTTATTATCTGGTCAGTTGTGTGTGATGGTCACTCATGTTTTATTATCTGGTCAGTTGTGTGTGATGGTCACAGTTTTATTATCTGGTCAGTTGTGTGTGATGGTCACAGTTTTATTATCTGGTCAGTTGTGTGTGATGGTCACAGTTTTATTATCTGGTCAGTTGTGTGTGATGGTCACTGTTTTATTATCTGGTCAGTTGTGTGTGATGGTCACTGTTTTATTATCTGGTCAGTTGTGTGTGATGATAACTCATGTTTTATTATCTGGTCAGTTGTGTGTGATGGTCACTCATGTTTTATTATCTGGTCAGTTGTGTGTGATGGTCACTCATGTTTTATTATCTGGTCAGTTGTGTGTGATGGTCACTCATGTTTTATTATCTGGTCAGTTGTGTGTGATGGTCACTCATGTTTTATTATCTGGTCAGTTGTGTGTGATGGTCACAGTTTTATTATCTGGTTAGTTGTGTGTGATGGTCATTGGTCAGCTCTGTGTGATGGTCATTGGTCAGTTCTGTGCGATGGTCATCTGGTCAGTTCTGTGTGATGGTCATCAGGTCAGTTCTTTGTGGTCATCTGGTCAGCTCTGTGATGGTCATTGGTCAGTTCTGTGCGATGGTCATCTGGTCAATTCTGTGTGATGGTCATCAGGTCAGTTCTTTGTGGTCATCTGGTCAGTTCTGTTTGATGGTCATCTGGTCAATTCCGTGTGATGGTCATCAGCTCAGTTCTTTGTGGTCATCTGGTCAGTTCTGTTTGATGGTCATCTGGTCTGTCCTGTGTGATGGTCATCTGGTCTGTCCTGTGTGATGGTCATCAGGTCAGTTCTGTGTGATGGTCATCTGGTCTGTCCTGTGTGATGGTCATCAGGTCAGATCTGTGTGATGGTCATCTGGTCTGTCCTGTGTGATGATCACTCATGTTTGATGATCTGGTCAGTTCTGTGTGGTCATCTGATCAGCTGTGCATAATGGCCATTCATGTTTCGTCACTCATGTCTGATGACCTGATCAGTTCTGTGTGATGATCTGGCTTGTGATGGTCAGTCTCTCTTGATTGGCAGTTGTCTGTGTGATGGCCACCTCTGTATTTGATAATCAATTCTGTGTGGTCAGATCCGTGTAGTGTTATATTGTCAGTACAGATGATCACTGTCAGTTCTGTGTATTTTGTATGGTGTGATGGTCATTTATTTGGGGTTGTCAGTTCTGCATGTTGTGATACAGTCAGTACAGTGTGATTGTCATTTTGCTGAAAGCATATTTTAATTACCGGGTATTATGAAAATTCTGTGCTGTTTGTTTTTAATTGATATAACAGTTGGTTCACATTTACATTAACAAACAAAAAGTTGTTTATGAATTCTCATTTAATGAAATAATCACAAAAATATTGTGTACTAAACACCATCATACCACATCTATACACATGGTATTTATTGCTGCCATCAATATAACAATATAATTATACTTCACTCTTTCTAAAAGATAAAATCTTGTATATTTTGAAAACAAATACTCTAAGGGGTAATTACATAAATACATCCAGAATTTGTAGTTCTAATATCAAAGGTGACAGAGAATGAAAATTTAATTTGTTTTTTAAATTAATTTTTCTTATTTGTTAGTTTTGAAAGTATTAGAATATATTTTCAACTGTATGGGAAAAGTCTTTGCCGAAAAATAAGATTGGTCTGTTTTTATCACTAATCAGCGACATATTCCTAGATTGTCCCAGATATCCTTTACTATACATTGTATAATTGTAAAACTCTTCAGAGAGGTCCAAATCATACCACCAGTAGGACTGAAGTTGTTTATCAATTAAGATATCATAAGTGTTAATTAAAAAAAAAATTGAAAAAGTTCATTTTCCTAAATGTACAATTTACTCTTGAAATATTTCTTTCACAATTTTCATCCTAAAATTAGGTAAAAAAAACCCAATCCCAATAAAAAGTGAAAAACAATCTGGTGTATCATCTTGTTCTTTTTTCCAGCATTCCTCAGGTCTTAAACTTTTATGAAGAGGTTTCATACAAATCTACAAATCAAGTTGATCAGCAATGAATCATTTTTAGAAATTGTCAGATTTTCATCTCTTTTCCTGCATGCACTGTAAATTCTGGTGAGATGATAGGAAATAATCTGGATGGGCTTTCAAGTTTATCCAATTTTTAAATCATGTTAACAAATGATATGGATATTTTGATCCACTATTAGGGTATAAGAGTCAAAAGATTAAATAAATGGACCATTTGGTATTGGTTAAGATCACCTGTTGGATTCAAAGCCACTACTGGATCAAAATTAGGTCAAATGGATCTGAGGTGGTCAAAACTGCGTCAAATGGCATCAGAGGTCATAATCAATGGAGAATCTGGTTAAGGGTTTTAACCTAAAACATCCCAACACTAGAAACCCATCATGTGTAGAGTTCAAAGTCTATCCGCCGAGAGTTGTAGAATTTATCAGTGTTGACTTTACGGACAAACACACCATCTGGGAAGTAGTCCTCCTCCGTCCACTGTAACATCTGGGAGGAAGTAAAGGGTCCGTGCAACTCTGCATCGCTTTGTTCTTCCCACTTATACTCCCACATGACCTCTGCCGGGTCTGGTGCTGGAGGTTTCTCTAAAGGGTCAGGCAGAACAGTCTCTGCACTGTCAGCAGTTTTAGCCTCAGAGTTATTGGCCGTGTCCTTTTGGGCAGCTAGAAAGTATACAAAAGTTCATGTAAATTGATAGAATTTATTTTCCATTTGTTGCAAAATGTTGCTCACCATCTGGTCTTCAAATTTCTAAATGCTCACAATGACTATAAATAGCAACTCTCTTTCAGTATTTTTTAGCGATATCAATTTCCACAAAGATGATGCCATGATGTCTTGAAAACGCATTAAAGATGTAGACTGGAGTTTTTAAGCTAACAAGAGGCCTATCAGCCATACTGGTCACCTGAGATAAGCAATATTGAATATAAAGGTTAAAGGGTAAGTAGCTTTCAAGTATCATGAAAAAGAAATTGTGACATTGATGATAGTAAGCCAGCACACCATCAAAACTCATCCTACACTAAGGATATCCTAATCCAGTGGGAAATGAACAAAAATACAATTCTTATATAAAAATTAGAGCAATGTTTACATACTCCCTAGGAAGAAATGTGAGACCCATTTGGTAATTAAAGCACCTTAAGACGCATCCATCCATGAAGAGCATTTGACTATCATATGTGGGTGCTAAGAATAATTTTGAAATCAGATTAAATTTGTCCCCTTTTGGCTCTGCCCATCAGCCACTGGAGGCCAGCAAAGATGGGCATACTATCAAGCGTCATCCTTCATTCATAATTCTAAATAAGTTTGAAATATTTCCACCAGAAATTAAACAAGTGAAGCACAAAAATCTGTTTTGCCCATAAAAACTTCAGCAAAAATTTAATCCCTCTCCATGGGGAAATGTGAGAGCCTCGGGTCATGAAATTCACAAATGTGGCAAAGCACCTTAAGATGCTTTATTCGACGAAGAGTATTTGATTCTACCATAAGGATGGGGACCGTATAATCCCTATTTTGGTTCATCTTAGGCCAGTGAAGGTTTCTGGAAAATTTCATTGAAATCGGTTCACAGGTTTTTATGAAAAAGTTGAAAATGTTAAATTGTTTATGGATGTGCAATGCCAGAAAAAGGTGATCGCAATAGGTCACCTTGAGATTTTGTCTCAGGTGACCTAAATACTGTTCTTTTGGTTTTATGACAACACAGCTAATCTCTTTAGCTCCAAAATGTAAATATAAAAATGGGCTTATATACAGATATATATGTCAATGAAGTAAAAAAAAAAACTACTTCTTACCATTTTCCTCTGATTTTAATTGATTTTTTCCAGAATTCTTTTCCTCTTCCTCTTTGTCCAAACTTTCAGCAAACATATCAAGTGCATCATCATCGTCCATACCATCAGGAATACTAACAGGCTTTGGTTTAGAGTCTTCAAATTTCTTTAACTCATAATTTATTTTCTCATATGTCATTTCATACACTTCCATGTTACCAGTCTGTATGAGTTGATCTGCCAGTCCTGTTAATTTTAACATATTTTCTTTGTCCTTGGCATTTTGTTCACTCTGTTCATCACTGACAGTCAGTTTCTTCTTCTTTGCTTTCCAGCGCTGACTTGCTGTTTGGAATTTGCCACCTAGTCTTCGCAAGGCTTTCATGATCGTCTCCCCTGGTTTCACAAACTCCAACATTTCTTTCAGAATTGATTCTTTGTCAACAACTTCTTCTTCTGAATCATCATCTTCATCGTCATATTTACTGGACAATGGCCTTTCTTTCACTTTTACCCAGTCAATATTATCCATCCACGTGTCTCTGATTTCCTAAAAACAGTCACATTTTTAGATATTTTTTCAGGGAGAAAGAAATTCTATACATTTATCAACATATAAAGACAACTGACTTTCAACATGAATATTCTAATTTCCAGAATAGCACAACGATTTAATCTGGCATTACATGAAGATTTAATAGCATGTATAAGTAAGACCCATGTTCTTGTCCTATACCTTTTTCTTGTCGTAGATGTATGTCCCTTCTTTATCAAAATGTCCTTCCTCCAACTCATCCTTCATGTTAAACGGTGTTATTTGTATCTCACCATCACGTTCAATTGTTGAATCTTCCTGTCCTTAGAAATTATAAAGGCAAGTAAAAATCAATAACTAGTAGAGAGATCAATATTCTAAAATAAACACAAATATTTAATGTACACTTAAGATCCAATCGTGATTATGTAGTCTTCAATATTCCCAAGAAATTTCCTTCGTGTTTTCCACCATTGCAAATGAAACCTAATGTAAAAACTTCAGTCCTACAAGCTAACAGATTTTTTTTCAATTTCCCTCCTATTTTCCATCATTGCAATTGCTCAAAAATAAAACCCAACATATCTGTCAACAGAAATTTATAACCACTGTATATAAAGTATCTGTTATACTTGACAGTATTTTCTAAACATGTGTTCTACTTTATGTGTAAACACTATTAAGAATTTTTTTAAACAATGTACAAATGGAACATTTTGACACTTTTCTCACTCTGCTCAATGGTAATTCAAGTAGTATTTGAATACTACCAAAGCGCAACTACCAAAATTTGCAGGCACATAAGTTTAAAAAGTGCAGAAGTAAAAGATGAATGGAACTTAAAAACAATGCCACTTTGCTTCAATCAGATGCAAATTTCAAAGTTATCTATGACGTTTTCCATTTGATCAGTCGAAAAGTATTTTTCGCTACTTGGTACAGAGGTGACTATAGAATATTTTATCTTGATAACTGACATTAAGTGATTTGTGAGCAGCATTCACCATTGTGTGACCTGTATGCATTTTGTAGCAATGGAAAGGCTTTGATACTACCTATCACTTGATACTAAAACTCCATTCATTAATGCAGCAAATTTTCAATTGATTTGTAATTGGTGCATTTTTTATTGTAAAGCTAAGGTTTATTCAGTTATAGTAGTTTTTCCAACGTCGAAAAATCCTAACAGAAATAAAGGGAAAAGAATGTTTGCAAGTTCAACAACATCAATTTGGCACAAGTGTAGAACAAAAAATATTACCCTGCTATTAAAAGGACATAATGCTAAATACACCAGTATCGTTTCTTTGTCAGAGAGGGATTTGGTTTCGACCTCACAGGTGATATGTTTTTTAAGTGTGGAAGGTTTGAGAAAGTACAATACGTACAATTTGTAAAAATACAAGCATCAACCTTTCACGGTGGTAAATTAAATTAACTTATTAAATTCAAATGTAAAGACCGCGAACAGGCTTAATGTACAGCGAAAATAAATAACCTTCTATTTCATCTTCTGGCATGACATCATATTTTGTGGCATCGTCATCTTCCTCATCGCTGTCAAGTGAGTGCTTTCCTTTAAATCTCCGCGATTCGTCGCCGCCTTCGGCAGCTTCTTCTGCAAACTCCACTTTGCGTTTTGACGCCATTTCACGTTGTTCAGGACCGGAAGTAGTTTGGTCGACATTTCGGTAGATATAAATTCGCGGGATAAGTGGAATACTTAAATACAAATAATATCAAAAATATTTTTTTTAATCCAAGAATAAAGTGTCTATTAAACATATTCTATTACAATATGTATTTTATTGCAATGCATCGATATAACAGTTTCCGTAATCAAAACCACTTTCGAAGAATTCCATCTTGTTACAATTTTGTAATTTTGATAAACCTTTGTTGAAAAATGGCGTCCATTCTTGGTTACGATATTCTGGATTGAAAACTTTGAATTAAGTGTGAGGTACCTTAAAGAACATCAATTGCAACCGCAAACATTTAAAAATTTAAACGTTAACTTGTAAGTATGTTTGTGAAAATGCATATTGTTTTAATGTTAACTGCGTGTGAATTGGCAGCAGGTGTTTTTGAAAAGCCAGACATGACAGGGTCAAATGATCAGACGCTGTCTGGTTAAAAAGGTCTGCATTAAGCTTTGCCTCGATATTTATTACCTGTATATGTATACATATTCTGATCTATTACATGGGGTGTTGAATGTAACCAATAGTCGAATATTTGTATATTTGCATGTCAGTAATTAAATTCATTCATCACATGGAATCTATAAGAATATAATGTTTAGGTATTCTTGAGGACCATTACGATATATCGTGTGGACATCGGTTCCGGGCCGTTATGTATATTGGAATGGTAATTTTGTCTAGCTATATCACATGCACTATTGATCTGCGTGACCTCGCAACAAGATAAGTTTGGTTGCTGTAACACGTCACGCTTCCAGAAAGCTTAAAAATAGTGATTTAAAGCATTCAACATAAAAATCTTACGAGTAAATATTTCATTGGTAAATTTGGGTATTTTTTTTCTCAAAACACATTTTTTCATGTCAAAAATCTTCTCAGATAATATGATGAAATAACCAATCAATCCAAATGACTATGAATAATAGGCCACATTTCTCACAATTTTTAAATCATCACTTTTGATGACTCAACTCTAAAACTAATGTGCCAATGATATATAAATTTCTATTGCCAATACAGGAAAATAGAGCCTGCCTCCCTGTACTGTTGTTATCTTGTTATATGTCTTGGTTGCATGCAATGCAGTCATGAATCCAAAGGGTTATGACTATCTACATATGTCTGCTTTTTATTATTTGTCTTGGTTGATCGTCAGAATTCCTTCTTGTTAAATCATGAAATTTTAATAGACCATTTGCATAAGTTGGCATTCAGGCATGTTCGACAACAGTGCGATGAATAATGAATTACAGGAGATAAAACACATCTCTACTAACTAACTTATATATGTCAAAGCCATCGATAATCATTAACCAATGATATCAACTCAGTTTTTCAGACAGTTTCAAGCAAATTCAGTTAAATTGATGCTTTCTCAAAATTTTTCATTTGAAACCTTCCAAAATGTAAACTCTCACAAGATTAAGAGCCATTTCCAAAATTTATTTGAATATAATATTTTTCTCTCTATTTACAGTATATCATGGTTAGTGTAGAGCCATCTTCTCGAGTGGGTGTGGCACTTGACCTCATCCTCAAGACTCTTATTTCTTCACAAGATTTTAATGAGCTTCAGACTAAGAATTGGGATGCCATAGCAAGGCTTATACCTGGGATGTCACCTGGACAGGTAACTAACCTCCCCCCTCCCAATCCCCCCCCCCCCCCAAAACCCCCCCCCCCCCCCCCAAAAAAAAAAAAAAAAAAAGGAAATAATGATAACAGCTTGTTGCCATTTCAGTAACTTCATTTCAAAATTGGATATATTAGATGAAATTGATCATATTGGAAATCTGAACTCAAAAGATTCATATAGAAATGTATATGCAGAGAAAGTACCTCAATTACTAATTGATTGTGTCTGAAATTAACCTGCACAATTTGTAGAAAGTAACAAAGAATGTCAACAAAGCGTTGTTTTGACGCGTTGTTTATATCTTTTTTTGATTCTGTATGGATATACATAATTTCATTTCATTTGATGTATTTTTTAAAGGTATGAATGGGATCACTTTTTTCAGTATTTTCTCATGAAAATTTAACTTCTGAAAGCAAGATTCAGTGTATCATTAAAGTTTAAAATAACTTAAAGAGTAATATTTTTCTGCAATTGTTCTGAAATTACCTACATGTGTTATACATAATTGTTATAAAGGTAAGGACTGTTGAGACTTTTACAATCTAACAGGTTGCTAGACGTTATGAAGAACTACTTTTGTCTGGTGATGTCTATGCCTTTAACCAGTTTGAGAAAAGTTATGCAGTCCCTGGGAGTTCATCTCAAATGAGTTTTAATGAGTCGGACACAGTTAATAAAACTGGAAGCTGCCCTGGCTCTGCACGAAACAAAGGTGAGGGTGTTAGTGTTGAAAACAAACTTATTTGATTGTTATTATATCAACCTGTAAACATCTATACATGATATTGATATTTATCAAGGATCTTAGTAAAATCTCTGATTTTCAAGTGAAAAAAAAAACATGCAACCCAATAACACATGGATTTATAACTTTAAACAGTTCCAAACAGAAACCTATAGTTAACACTATTACCAGAAAAACTCTTCAGTGAAAATATTTGGGCGCCTTCCCTTATTCATTTGACTTACTTTGAATGATCTGTAAAATCATGTGATGTCAATTTACTCAAATGAAATTGCTGTTGTGCTGAAACTCATGTCATTTCCGTGATTGGTTTATAGTTTATATTTATCTATAGTAATCATTGAATAACAATTACATACTGCGAACTTACATTTTTTAGTGGAAATCTTATTTTAGCGCTTTCACATGTCAGAAGTACATATGACTAATTGCAGTATCTGTATGTTGTTTACATAACAATGAAGATGGGTATACATTTATTGTTATTCATTTGCTAAAACCAAAAAGTGCTAAACAAAAAGTGCTAATGTGCTAAAATTTCATTTTATCAAATTTAGTACATTTACATTATACCTAATTTCCTCATCTGTAAACAAACATTCCAACATATCAGAATGTATGAATATGGAAAAATTTTCCCTTTGCAATCTAACGAAAACAACTAATTATTCATATTGTGCAACTTTCCCTGTCTGGTGACAAACAAAAGGCCATTTTTTTTTGTCAATTTTACATAATGCAATCAATACCTATCTATCAGATTTTTCAAGATAACAACAATATTCACATTTTCGAAACATTCCAAAAATATCAGTTGGGTTGAAGCACTTAAGAAACTGTTTGAAGAAACCCTTAGAGACATTTAACATCTGCAGCCATCTCAATTTGAATTTTTACAGGTGATAAAGATTTTAAGGATTTAGTTGATCAGAAAAGTAAAAATGGAGGCCGAAACAGCTCTGACCAAGGGTAAATATATTTTTGAAACTTTGACCTCTTAGATTAACAAAAAAAAAAAAAAAAATAACAAAAAAGTGACTGTGGCATTTGAAAGTACATTTTGTTGCAACCCTTGACTAGAGGTCAGTATATATATAAACTTTATAAATCTATGACCTTGATCCTATAATTATCAGTGACCTTGCCCTTAACCTTACAAGTAAACATACTACACTCATGTGGTGTGTTTGCTTAAGTCTTTGATCTTAAACTTCAAATATCAAATGCATGAATTTGATCTTGATATGAAATGTGCAAAAATTTCACTTATTAGAGACATTTTCTATTTTTGGAAATTTCATATACTGACATGAATCTGAATAAATTTCTGTGTGCATGAAGTGCCCTACTCATCTAACCAATGCACAGAAATGTGAATAAGTAGACATTTTAGTTCACTGTAATGTTTAGATTTTAGATTGGCTGAAGAAATACTGAAAACATGGTTCCAAAATGGGTCAGTTCTGGAATTTCCTGCATTGAGTTTTGTATCTAAAATTGAAGTTTAATCAATATGTTAAACTAATTGATGGTCTTAGAGATATGTATCAAAATTAAAAAAAAAAAAAAATTGAAAGAGTAGAAGTTATATGCGACTGCTGATGTTGTATACTGATGATATAATACAGATACAGATATTTCATTTCAGTCTCATCTTTTTGTATTTAAATTTTTAACACAAAATATGTCATAAAAAAGAATGGCAAAGGCCCCCACTGTTAGAAGAGTTGTGAGAAACTATACTTAATCATATAAAACAATATTTCTTAATTAAAAATATATGTACATGATAATTTGAGAGTAAATGTTTATCATTACTGATACTCAGATGTTGATTGTATTCCTGTTTGTTGTTATTTTATTTTGTTTGTTTATGTTTACAGGCCCTTGATGACAATCCACGTATGTGATGAAGCCAAGAGCTGTAAGTAATTAATTCAAGATCAGTTGTTAAAAACACTCTTTCTTTCCTTCCTTTTTTTTTTTTTTAAATATAAATGTCAGATGGCTCAATGGATAATGCATTTTCTGAACAAAGTCTGTTTACTTGATCAGATGTAAACATGCCTGATCATGTGGATTTTCTCTGGTGGCTACATTTATGGGACTCCTTCTGTAGCAAGTTCCTTTATTACTTTCAAACAAGTATATAAGTTGACATGACTTGTTTCAAAACATATATGAAATTCAAATAAAACTTCTTAAAGCTATTAATCATAAGTTATGACAATTATAAATTCAAACTTAAAAATTATACAATATTGTAAAAGATAGTTTTTCTATTTTTTTTTTTTAAATTTTGAAAGTATATATGTATCATTTGTGATGTAGGATCTGATCCAATTAGAATTATGACATTAATAGTAAAAGCTAACCTACATTCAGTAAGTCTGTTTTTGGTTTTAGTGAAACAGGATTTCCATTGTGCTAGAGACTTACTGGTCCAGGAAATGAAATATTTTGCGGAATACTTGTCCACTGATGCACAGCGATGGGAGGAAGTAGACATATCCGTTCACTGTGATGTCCAGATTTTTGATTGGCTGATGAAATATGTAAAACGGGGTTCAAAGGATGTCCCTGAAAAACCAAAACTAGGTTAGCTCTGGAATTTCTGTTTTTAACTTTTGAGACTAAAAGTTAACTGAAGTTGAATAATTTTAGGATTATCTTAATTAATTTTAAAAAATGAGACAAAATCTTAAAGAATTTTTAAAAAGTATTATTATTTAATTGCTGATATTGTTACACAGCCACCATTTAACAGTTATTGTCCTGATATAGAAAGATCTTCAGGAGTTCATTTGCTTGAGGTAGGAATATTTTTAAAAAGGTGCCTATTCTTGTACAGTATACTTAAGTAAAATAAAAGTTATATCCCTGATTGAGATCCTCTGAAATAATATTTCACATTAATTTCTACAAATTTCAGAGGCAAACAATGTGATTTCAATTCTGATTTCATCCGACTTTCTCAAAATGGACGTTCTAGTACAGGAGTGTATAGAATATTGCCATGGTAACATGTCTTCCATTGTATCTACGCCCTGTAATATGAACTGTATTAACGACAAACTTGTCGGAAGGTCAGTAACTTCGTCACCACAAGGTCATTTTTTGTGACCATAATTCGTGACACCATTTATAATGTTATTTGAGCAATTTTTTTTTTTTCACAAATTTTCATAAAAATGAAATATTTACACAAAATAGAAAGCAAGTTCTCATTTTGACATGTTTGTATACAGTAGCTATATATTATTCAACTTAAGGAGGTATGCTGTCTTATTAGTGTTATCTCCTTTCCAGGAGAATACCAAACAAAGAAACACTATATGTTATTTGAACTTGGTTTCTTAATCAATAAATCAAAATGGCGGAAAAGTGGGAAATGTATTTCTTAATATGACACAATACATTTTACTGAACGAAAAATTGTCCTATTTTAAGAATTTTTCAGTTTATCAGTGATTTTTTTTTGTGTTGTAGAAGATTTTTTAAAAACTTTGTTACTGCAATTTACCCCATATGTAAATATTTTGCATGTGCAGATGTTAAACAAACAAAAGTTTCAATATTCAGTATGATTGACAATTCTGTCATTCTAGGATATCAGACCTGTTTACTCAGAACGAGGCAGATGACATCAAGGATCGAAAAGACAAGTTTAAAAGGTAAGGTCATCAATGTGTAATAAAATTAGCATTCCTTAACAGTTTCTGTTTGGTTACTAATACAGCAATGTATATCAAATTAAAAAAAATGTTTCTTGAACTTCTCCCTTAATATCATCAGTGTTGGTACTGATAAATAATATTACATTGATGAAGTAGGGTTAGTAGACTAGTTATAGTTGTATTATCAGAATCAGACTTAATTACTATCAGTAATTTGTTAACGATTCCTCAAAATGCTGTCAACAATTGGCAATTTTAGATTCAATTCATATTGTATAAATTTCTCATAAATATAGGATGAGTGTCAATGTATTATGGAATTTATTGAACGAGTTAAATAAATTCCATAATACATTGACACCAGTGTAAGATTCTATTTATCACATAACAAATTAAAATGGAAAAATCACCAGAAAACTATGATTTACTTCCACTTTGCAATCAGCTGTTTCTATATAGGTCAAAACCAACGCACAGTAATCATAGTTTTATCCATCCGTGTTGCAAATAGTACCTTTTTTCAATGATTGAATAAGAGATTGTTATGTTCCAAAATAATATCGACAAAGTAAAGCATTTAAATTCTGTTTAATGCCAAAATAACTTTTAAAAATCGCACAAAAAAATCTTCTGGAAATTCACTTGATATTGGTAACATGACGTCACTCGCCTCGTCATCACGGGTCATCAGGTTCGGCCTAACTGCTCCAGTTACTGCGAGTCACTGTCACTTTTAATGATAGCTTTTCATTTATTTCTGGTAACTCAAAAAATTTATACAAAAGTTTCATGTCATACAAAGTTTTGCTCAACGTATTCTTGTTCGATTGATCCTGTATAAACTTCCCCACCTCATCTTCTCTGACTGAAACGACTTGGTTCAGGGGCAACAGGACCGCCATCTGGAGCGGTCGTCTGCTGTTGGGAGGGATCTACCACCTTTTCAATACAATCGCGCTCAAGCTCAATTTGAAAGTCAATCCCACACAATTCAACATTACAAAATACAGCAAACCCGGTGTCGCCAATGTTGATCTGGTCAGCCATATTATACTACAGTTTGTTGTTGTAATAAATAAAAGTAGTACGGGCGCGGGCGTATGAATGCGTTCCCATGGTTTTGACCAATCAGCAGACCCCAAACCATTATTACACATGTGTATTACCATTATTATGACATGGGCATATAACATGGGAAAACGGGTCAGTTATGTGATAAATTGCATTTTTCTAATTTGGGACCAGCTTTGATTTGATATAATGAAAAACAATGCAGGAAACCTTAAAGAGCTTCATTTGTTTGTTCTCAAAGAATACTAAGAGATAAAGCAGTCTAGACAGGCATTCACTGAAGCCTCCTTTTCTAAGACACAAAATGTCATACAGAATTTTTTATTTTGTTCATGCAGAAAAGTCTTAAAAATTATGAAAATCTCAAAGTACAAAATTCTTAACTTTCATCCCCCCACCCAAAATATATTTTTTAGCCCAGGTGGCAAATACGTGTTTTAGCTTTTAGATATTTTTTGTAAGAAAGAAATTATAATAAAACCAACTGAAAGCCAAGTTCAAGGTCATTATAATTAATAATCTGTGCTTTTTACATTAACTGTCTAGTAAACTGTTTGCCAAGAAGTTGGAGAAGTTATTTGATGCTGACACTAAGAGTCCAGATTCTCCGGAGGATGCTACAAACATGTTCAGGTAGGGAATATTATGATGTGTTTAAGTTATGTGAGGCCAGATTATAAAAATATTTGTTTTCTGTAATCTCACATGTTGTATCCAGCATCAATTTCATCCAAAGATGTTTTTGGTTTTCAGGGTGACCAAGACATAGTCTCAGGGTGACCAAGACATAGTCTCAGGGTAACCAAGACTTTGTCTCATGGTGATCAAGACATAGTCTCAAGGTGATCAAGACATAGTCTCATGGTGACCAACTGGGTGACCAAGACATTGTCTCAGGGTGACCAAGACATAGTCTCAGGGTGACCAAGACATAGTCTCAGGGTGACCAAGACATTGTCTAATGGTGACCAAGACATAGTCTCAGGGTGACCTGGAAAACGTCCTGAACTAATTTCAATGAAATCTTACAAAAACCTCCCATGGCTAAAGGTGCATCAAAATTGTAAATTTATTTGTCCCAAATCTCCAGGGGCCTCAGGGGTGAGGCCAAAAAGGGGCAAATTGATTGAAACTTCAAAAACCTTCTTATCAAATCCCAGATGTTATAGAATCAATGTAGAGGAAGGCATTCAGATGCTTAACCACATTCATAAATTTCATGACCCCAGGGTCTCGCGCTTCCCAAAATGGGGTAAAATTTACTGTAGGTTATATAGGGAATTACATTTTTAGCCCACCATCTAATAGATGGTGGGTTAATCAAATCGCCCTGCATCCGTGGTCCGTCGTCGGTCCGTCCGTCCGTAAACAATTCTTGTTACCGCTATTTCTGGAAAAGTACTGGATGGATCTTTCTCAAATTTCATATGCAGTTTCCCCTTGGTCCCTAGTTGTGCATTGTACCTTTTTTGGACTGATTCGAATTCAAGATGGCCGACAGGTGGCCATCTTGCATTTTGGAAGTAAAAGTTTGTTACCGCTATTTCTGAGAAAGTACTGGATGGATCTTTCTCAAATTTCATATGCAGTTTCCCCTTAGTCCCTAGTTGTGCATTATACTTGTTTGGACTGATTCGAATTCAAGATGGCCGACAGGTGGCCATCTTGGATTTTGGATGTAAAAGTTTGTTACTGCTATTTCTTGGAAAGTACTGGATGGATCTTTCTCAAATTCCATATGCAGTTTCCCCTTGGTCCCTAATTGTGCATTATACTTGTTTGGACTGATTCGAATTCAAGATGGCCGACAGGTGGCCATCTTGGATTTTGGATGTAAAAGTTTGTTACTGCTATTTCTTGGAAAGTACTGGATGGATCTTTCTCAAATTCCATATGCAGTTTCCCCTTGGTCCCTAATTGTGCATTATACCTTTTTTGGACTGATTCAAATTCAAGATGGCAGATAGGTGGCCATCTTGGATTTTGAATGTAAAAGTTTGTTACTGCTATTTCTTGGAAAGTACTGGATGGATCTTTCTCAAATTTCATATGCAGGTTCCCTTTGGTTCCAAGTTGTGCATTATACCTTTTTGGACTGATCCGAAATCAAGATGGCTGACAGGCAGCCATCTTGGATTTTGAGAGTAAAATCTTGTTACTGCTATATCTGAGGAAGTACTGGATGGATCCTTCTGATATTTCATAGATATTGGTTTCCCTTGGTCACTTGTTGTGCATTGTACCTTTTTTGGACTGATTTGAAATCAAGGTGGCCCACAGGCAGCCATCTTGGATGTCGACAGTAATACAGCACAAGCATATTGTCCATTATCCACCTGTAACTGACTGCTATCTAATAATACTTTGGGATCTTTTTCAAATGATATTTGCTAATAGGTGCTTAATAAAAATATCTTGTGCCATCATTGAGTACATTCAATGAAGACCAGTTCATGAACATTTACAACACCTGTAACAAACAAAAAAAAATAAACAAATCTTCAAGAACTGAAAACAGATCCTCAAATGGTGGGCGCCAAGATCCCTCTGGGATCTCTTGTTTAATATAATATGTTTATCTTCTATTTGAAATAGTTCAAACCTGGTTATTATTAGTTTAAGATAACAGTTTAATGAGATGTACATATTGACCTCGACTGACCCCCAAAAGCTGATGGATAGGGCCTCTTTTTCACTTTCTGCTGTAATCCCATTCTTAGAGCAGAAGCATATATTCTTATTTTTCCATTTGCATAAGAATACAAGTACACTGAAGTGTGTGTATCTGGAACATACAGCCTTAATTTTGTTTAGACAGTTTATCTATTTATTTTTTCACAATGACATATAAATAAGTATATAAATATAAACTGTACCATGTTGATAGATATGAAATCTCAAGGTACAACAAGACAATAAAAGTGTCCTGATTTTATTACAGATGCTCTGTATGTAAAAGAATCCTAACGGCCAATCTAGAAAAGAAAGTAAAGTGTATGCCATGTCGGTAAGTAAAGGGAGATAACCAATCCTGGTAGGACTGCCAGGGATATTTGCATCAAACTTACCGATGATACTCCAACCCAATTCTAAACATTGTGGTTTTGTGGCTGTAATTTTTTTTTTTTTTTCGATGAATTTTTTTAGTATCTCAAAATGGTTCAAACCATTTAGATAGAGAAGAAATCAAGTTAATTTTCTTTTGAATTGTAAAATGAAAACTTATTAAAAGATTTTGAAAAATGATCTGATTGCTGAGAAATATGTGACAAAATGTTCCTTTTTCAGGATGACTGTTGATAAGAGAGGTCGTTTGTCACATTGTCATGTCAAAGACAAGTCGTTTGATGTCAATGAATACCTGTTGGAGTTGAAAGCACAGCTGAAATCCTGGCGTGAAGTTTACTGGCGCATTTGGGGTCTTATCAACTATCTCAGTTGTACACGCTGTGGTGAACTGTTTCCTTGTGCTGAATTTGGTCACTGTAAATATCACCCAGAGCCGCCTCGTTATGACAATGAGAGTGGACTTGGTTCTTGTATTGGAACCTACCCCTGCTGTCACCAGAAAAATCTTCGGTTTGACCCTACACAACAGAATAAGGTCAGTGAAAAGGTCAAAGGGTTATTGGGGATAAGGTTAATGCTGAGGTCATGGGGCATTTGGGTTGAGAGGTCAGAGAGTCAGAAAGGAAAAGTTTAATGAAGAGGTCATAGAGTCAAAGGGTGAGAGGTAATCAAATTAATCAGGAGGTATAACATCAGAGGGAAAAATGTAGATCATGTCATTACTAAGAATAAAAGGGAATGGAATTAACAAGAGGTCATAGGGTCAGAGGGAAAAATGTTATTAAAAGGTCATAGTGTCAGATAGGATGACATTAGTAAACAAACTCCAGAGAATACAGTTCAGATGTACTAATGCTTTGATTTAAAGATGTGCTAACCAGTAAGTTAATCATGCTTTCATGTGTGTAAAGAGTCTGTCAAAACTATTACTTTGAAAAGGTGTTTTTAAAAGTTATTGTTTTGTTGACTGCACCTTGATTTTCTATTTAGGGCTGTCGTGTAAGGGACCACATTGTAAGTCTACCAGAGATTGTTCAGGGTAGTGATGTAGACAAGGCCTCACCAAATCGTGTGTATGATGATCTCCTGGCTCACAGAGATGTAGTGTGTGTACCCTTCCAACGCCTATCAGACGCCAGGTACTGATAAACTTACTCTCCACTCCGCCCCACCAAGCCCCCGCTCCCGTTGAATTTTAGCAATCTCCAGCTCTTTCATCACGTAATTAATCTTTACTGGTTTCATCCAGATTCATTTCAACTTTGGTATACTGTGTCAGTATGCCTCAAAAATGTACATCTTCTTTTTCATGCAGTTTCCTACCGTGTAATAATGCCCCCTTAAATTTGCTATTTCAGATTAAGTTTGTGAAATCAACTCCTTTCCCAGTTCGAATCACATAACATCCCCATTTATAAGTTAGTGTTTTTTATGTCATATGGACTCCATCAAATATTCATACACCCTGTGGAGTGAATTTTGAGGGACAAACATTATACTAAATGATAATAGTTTTAATCTATTCAATTCTGTGACACCTAAGAAATAGGTGTTCTACATGTAGTAGTTGATGGAATAGGGAAGAATTTGAGCAGATACTTTCAAGAATCATGAAAATTCAGACTTTTAAAATTTGTGATATCAGGTTTTCATGCTCACCGTTCAGGTTTGTGATTTACCTTTTATAACATGATCTGACATTTTTTTTCATTTGATATATATTTGTTATTTTTTTTGTTTTGTCTTTGTTTTTAATCATATATTATGTAATCTTCTTGGAATATTTTGTCCACAAATCTCTATAAAAACCTGATATTTTTGCAACTATTTTTATCACAACTTTTTTTCAATTCCAACCTATTATTCTGAATGTCACTGACAAGGTTGAAACCTTACTTAACAGAATTCTTTAAACAATATTCCCTAAGCTTTTCAATCCTGTAATTTGCTTGAGTTGAAAAAGTAAGACAGGTTTGAATCCTTATTTAACAGATTTCTTTAAACGATATTCTCTAAGCTTTTTAATCATGTTATTTGCTTGTTTTGAAAAATTTAAAACAACATCTTGGTTGATTACATATAAATGTCACAGAGTTCTTAAAAAAGATATACAGTTTTGTATTGGGTTGGTAAGTTTCAAGCAATGTTTAGTAAATTTCTTAAACAATTAAATTGGATATTATGACACAAACTGAGTAGAAACGGCTATATACCACTATGTATGAGTGCATGTTGATTAAGTATATGCTTTCTTATCTGGAATAAATAAACATTTTATATCATGGTCACAGAAAATATTTGATATATTTGATAAATACTGACTGAGTTAAGTTTGATCTGCAAAACCAAAAAAGTAAAATTTGTTAAACATTTAAATGTAAACTGCATTTAGATAAAAAAATATTTATTATCACTGAATTTCTATTAATATCAAGTTTTGTTTTATATCACTTTCAATCAATCTTCTTAATAAAGAAACATACCATTAACAGCAATATAGTCCATTTGAACTAATTCCGTTTATTTTGCTTCTTTTCTTTACTTCAATAATTACTTAACAGTCTATTATTTTCAAATTTTATCTTTTATCTCCTTAATGTTTTTAAATCATTTGATATAGCCTTGCCACATTATATATATGAAACAGTGGCAGACTTTCTTCTCTAATTTGGGGTCTTTCATGAAACCCCTATATTGAACTACAGGAAGCTGATGGCTAGAACAATATTGTAATTGCTTTATAACTTTTTAACCTTAGTAGATTGATAACATTTTTTGTGATTTTTTAGAATAATAGTAGCAGGTTGGTCACATTTCAGATGTTTTATTGTACTGCAAAGGTCAAGTTCTCAGACTTAGTGGTTTTCGTTAGATCCCTTTATTGAACTGTAGAAAGTTTGTTTTCCTTCATTACATTTTAACAAGTTATAACAAAGGGGTGGAACATTGCATGCTTGTTAACCTCTATCTGAAAGTGTCCCAGTTGTATACTGAATTTGTTTTGTCTTTCAAAGGTTACTGTCTCAGTTTTATAGCTTCTCATGATACCATATATGATAAACTATGGAAAGTTGTGTGCATTTCTTGACTTTATTTTGCAGTGGCAGGGTCCTTAGTCTCATCTCCATATCATCTAGTTAATTCTGGTGTTGTGTGTCGTAAATTTTTAACATTTTCAACTTCTTCTGGAAAACTCATGAACCGGTTTCAATAAAATTTTACAAAAAATCTTCCATGGCTTAAAGATGCACCAAAATTGTAAATCATATGGTCTCCAATTCCCAGGAGCCTGATGGGGCAGGGCCAAAAAGGGTCAAATTAATTGAAACTTCAAAAATCTTCTTCTCCAACCTCAGGTATTGTAGAATTAAATACTCTTCATGGATGAAAGGGTCTTAAGATGCATTACCAAAATTGTAAATTTCATGACCCCAGGGTCTACATTTCCCCCTGGGTAGGGGGTAATGTGTACTAAAGTTTAGATAGGAAAATTACATTTTTGAACATCAGTTGTTTATTTTCTATTTGAAACAGTGCAAACCTGGACAGCACATATATTGACCTCAACTGACCCCCAGGGGTTGTTGGGCGGAGTCAAAAGTGGGTTAAATTGACTGAAATTTTAAAGATGTTGCTGGATGGAATATTTTATATAGGAAAATTAAATTATTTTTTAATTCAAACTTGGTTAGAACCCTTAGCATAGGACAGCAGTTAATGTATACACAATTTACACTTGTATTGTTGTGTTTTTCTTACACAGTGAATTAGAGCTTAACATGTATGATAACGAAGAATTCGTGAGTAGTACACGTAAGGAAGGCACAGCTATCCATCCGTCTCTCATGTCTGCAGTAGATGATGATAAAAAGTCTGAGGTAATTAAGGGTGTATGTTGTCTGAACATTGATTTACACCTCTGTTTTGAAGAGGCCATATTTCAAATAAAAATTCTGTGATGCTTTTTTTCATTTCTAATATAATTGTTTTGAATCATTCAGCTGATGACATGTAAATCAAGAATCATATTGTGCTGTGTATAGGCTTAAGTCTGTATGATTAAATACACATTTGCGTGATTCTCTTTTTCCAAAAGAGCTCCAAGCAGCGTATTAAATTACATCAAAGTCAAAATTAATTTTCTGATGAAAACTTTAATTTCTTAACTTAAGAAATACTTTTGAAATATTTCACCACACAGAAATGTTTGACTGCTAAATATATTCATTATTCCTTTTCAAATTGTTAACAAAACAAGGCATTAAGATATTATTGTGTTTAAACTATATAATTGTTTGAGTGTTTTTCCAGACCATGAGGCCCCAGCCCCGCCTTCAGGCTCTGACCATGGAGAGAGAGCTTTCATTTGAGTATGATGATATTGGAATGGGAGAAAGTGATGATGAACTTGGAGATGATGAACAGCCGAAAGGAACAGGTAATAAAACTAGTAAGCTGTGACCTACTTTTTGTTTTATGGTTCTCATTTTCGACCTTTTTTTACACAGTGCTTATATAACCATCATTCTTGTCATCACAGGTAATGTTAACCTAAGTCACGGTAAAAATGGTTTACTGTAACAAGGTTAAATTCTGTGCTTTTTGAGGTTTTGGTGATACAATAAAGACAAATAATGTGTACCTTGAAGATCGTACAAAAAACACAAATTAAAAAAGCAGCTTGTAATGAAAATTTAGAATCAAATCCAATAAAGCCAAATGATGATTTAGAATTAAACTGCAATGTACAGCTTTTTAGGTCACTTGAGACAAAGTTGTCACATAAGACAAAGTCTCCGGGTGACCTATTCCGATTCCATTTTGTCTGGTGTTGTCCAATGTTCTACTGTTTCTGGATGGAAGATTTTATATAGGAAAATTGTAATATTGAGTGAAATTTCTTTTAATTCAAAGTTGTTTGGCTTGGGATAGCTTGCATTATGTGTGCAATGTAGTTAAAGTTATCTTACTTTTTATAACAAAATCATTTCTATGACATGTTACAAGGACCATTGTGACTCAGGTGACTGCTAAGGCCTTTGGGGTTCTTGTTCATCCTTCTAAGACTCGTCATTGAAGCTTAGGGTCTTAATTGTTGAAAATTAATAGGCAAATTAGGGAAACTGAAATTGGTCAAAACAAGATGAGGAGTCCACTAACCATGAAAGTCATGAGATTTTTTAACCATTTAGTATTAAATGATTTTGAAAAATTCTTGCACATGTTTAAAATTGATAAAGAAAAACAGTTCATAGCAATTAAAACACATCCCTTTTAGTTAAAACATGATCATTTTTGATCCACTGAAAAAACAAACTTCACAGTATGCCTTGTATGACATTAACCTCAAAAAGACATTTCATAGCCCTGGTTTACTTCCACAGCTCGTCGGTCAAGAGGAACCAGGCGGTCAAGAGTGACCATTGATCCACAAGCTATCCTATTGGATGCTCCAGATTTTGAGTAAGTATATATATTACTAACTTTGTAGATTTCCTTTTTGTAAATTTTTATCTCTACTTTTTAGTGATGTGTAATTGAACATTACAATTTATAGGGAAATAACAATTGTAGAAATACAGGCCTCTATGTTTATTTCCACCTAAGGATATTAATGGTAGTCACATTTTTATCAAAAAATTAATGTATTTAGGAAAAACTTCTTAAAACAAAACTGAAATTTCATACCAAGAATCTCCATATAACAAGTAGAATTGAAGTATTCATACTGAAGTGTTATGAACAATGGCAGATGGAGTATTAGTAAGTATGAAGAATCTGATGTAAAATACATTCTTTGTTTAAGGCTTTCAGAGGATTTGTAGATTGTCAGTCAGTTATTACTAAGTTACTGATATGCTGTCGACCACGGATCTAATATGTCATTATAAAGAACGTGTGACATTTTATTTGAATATTCATTACAAAATTTGAATGTTATCTATTCTGTTTTATAGTCAGACCAAGAAATCCACTTGGGACACTGGTAGATCTATGAGGTACAATCAGGACGCCCAGCGACAGGAAGGTTTGTAGGGATTAACACAACATGGGAAGGGCTTAGATGAAGTGGGAGAAACCAAGATGAAGTGGGAGGTTCTAAACCAAGCGGGAGGGGCTTAGATAAAGTGGGAGGGGCTTATTATATATAGTAGATGATGTGGGAGAGGCCAATATGGAGTTTGGGGTAGATAAAGTGGGAGGGGCTTAGACAAAGTGGGATGAGCTTAGATGAAGTGGGAGAGGCCAAGATGGAATGGGAGGTCCTAAATAATGTGGGATGAGGCTTAAATAAAGTGGGAGGGGCTCACACAAAGTGAGAATGTTTAAAACAAAAGTGGAAGGGCTTAGAAAGTACAAAATTGGGAGGTAGGTGGACTTCACAACTAATATGGTTAAAATTTCCTATTAGAGGGTTTTACACATGAAGAAGCTTATATGTGATATATATAGGAGACTCAATATGGGAGGTTTCCTCAAATACAAAACACAGAAATATTGAGGGTGACCTATTGCGATAATTTTAAGTCCACTGTCATGTGTTAACTTTCTCTTGTGAACATGATAAAGATCATTTCATTTAACTTGATCTGAAGCCTTATCCCCAATCTCAGATGAGCTCAACAATTGGACTGATTTGATTTTTTTTTTCAGAGTTATGGCCCTTTGCACTTTAAGGTTGATTAAGATAATAATACTGTTTTGGCCCATTGGTGCCTTGTTCAGCCTGTCTGGAACCATTAAATGACATTTTTTATAGAATGATGTTGCTGTTCAAATAAACAAATCATCTTGTGATATGTACAATGGAGGATGGAGGTACCTGTAAAATAGGGATATAAGTGCAATTGTACTCTGCATGTGTTGTAAAATCATCCATTTTGTGGGGCTCGAAGGTCATGGTTTTCCAAAAATATTGATTTCATGGACAAATGCTGATCACAAAATTTGCTAGTGCTATATTCAATTTCAACTTTCATCTGTTTATCATTTGGTGGACTTTATAATTTCAGAGTACCCAAAAATTCCACTAAAAGAAATCCCCACCAAAATCAGTAACTTTACAGTAAGTGGGGATGATGTGTTTTCCTGAGCTTTACAGTGTTTGATTTTTATTGTGTTATGAATTAAATATGTTTAAATATGATCAACTTTCATGACTTTTTTTACATATAAAAATCACGATAAAATTTTGCTAACAAAGGTATGTTGGTTTGATACAGGAGCAAAGCATCCAAATTGAGGAATTGAAAACAAAAATAGTAAATGTAGTTTTTATACTCCCTTTAAAAGTGCAGTGTACCAATTGCAATGCTAAGGCTTGCAATCCCTTAATTACAGAGTTAGTGCCCTTTTTGAAATTTTGTGTTTGGAGCATTTCTTTGCCTTCCTTTAAACTATGATATTGAAATGTGATGTATACATCAGTTATACAAAAGCAAGAATCAGTGTTGCAAAGTTTGAGCCCATGATCCCTCAGTAGAGTTATTGCCCTTTGTTAAAATTTTGTGTTTTGAGCATAGCTCTGCTTGCACTAAAACTAGGATAATAAAACTTGGTGTATTTATTGATCATAATAAGAGAACGTGTTGTACACTAAACTTAGGGCACGCAACCCCTTAATTACAAAATTATTGCCCTTTTTAGAAAAATTTTGTCCAATAAAATTTTCGGGAAGCATTTGTAAGTATCACTAATACTCTTGTTTGTATAATTATGTGCAAGATATATATTCTTTTACTTTATATGAGAAGCATTCACTTGGGATTAAATTTCACCTTTAAAAAGAAAAGTGAGCTGAAAATTTATTGTTAAAGCTGAAATATGTGATTTTATGTCACTCAGGTCAATTTGGATTATGGTAACATCATCATACCTGTTTCTATTTTCAGACCACAGAAGAATGAAAGACATCCGACTTTATTTAACAAAGTTAAGATTGAACCCTGACAAGATAGATAAACCAAAAAAGGAAGTAAGTCTCTAGTATGGATGTCTGTTTGTAAATATATAACGATAGTATTAGCGTTAAAACTTCTTCTCCAGAATAAGTGGTTAGTTCTCAATCAAATTTTGATGAAATGATTAGATGATATGTGAAGGTATTTGCCCATGCAGGACCCATGGAATATTGTTTGGACTCACATGATTGTTTTTGAGGTATGTTACGTTTACGTATTTTGAGAGTTGAATAAAACTGAAGCTGTGAAATTGAAGTTTCATCACTTGCAAAGAAAAAAAGAATATTGTAGAAGCATAAAAATATTAATCGTCAGAAAACAAGGATCTTTACTGTAACCAGTGACATATTGACCTGATGTAAAATTAGGTTACATATATATAGGAGCTTACATAAGTTCCATTTCATATGTAAATAAGAAAAAGAGTTCAAGAATTTTCTATTTTAGCGATCCTTTGACGAGCTAAGATAAAAATGATGAGAAGTGTCATAAATCACATCCAAAGAGGAAATGAATTTAGACATTTTATTATCACATGACCAGTTATTTTGGCGGGAAACATTTTTCCACATCAAGTCCTCTTGCTGTATAATTGTGAAGTCACAATGAAATATATGATAGGAATCGTCTAATTCGGATGTTACAATAGATTTTATTTCTAATGTAATATGCAGAAATATCACGCCAGTTTAGTCAGTGGTCGCAATAAAATGATAGTCATATGGTCAATATTTTGTATAGTATTATGATATATATTGGTATGACCTTGAGAAAGTTACATAGTGACCTTGACCTTATTCTGAAATCTTTCGTAGTGTGAAATAGTGCAGCTGAATGATTTTTGTGACCCAGACCTTGGACTGCCTTATGACCTTGTGTTGTAAGACTTAATACCCTGTGACCTTAAATAACCTATGAACTTTAACCTTGAATGACCAATTTGAGCTTGTATTACATCAAGTTACCCATATAAATTTTGACACCTTGTTATTGGATTGTAGTATGCTGGAGGAATCTATAGTAAAATAGAAGCACAATGGAGATCCAACAACGTTCAGCTCCAGAACAAACAGCCATCCAACAACCAGTTCAGGTAGGTTATACAATGGACACTTATAATGTTATGGTTTGATCTAAAGACTTTTGGAGTTTGAAAATGTCGCCACCATTCATGGAATTATAAAAAGGAAATATATATTCCTATGATAGATATGGGTGGTGAGAACTTGACTCTTCATCAATATTTATTGGTATGGTTATCAATTTTGCGAATAGATGATCATGGATATTCACATACATTTTATCTTACCGAAAAAAATCTGTACGTATATATTTATTACTTTTTTTGCATATGATTTATGGAGAAAATCTTCTTGATAAAAACACTAGTGAACAATAACACTTTGCCAGACTTAAGCCAATGAAAAGAGAGAACACAAATCATAAAGCTTGGTACAAAAAAAAATCATAAAACAGTAACACGTCTTCGAATTCTGTGGTAAATGTTCATTTCCATGAAAGTCAGCAAACAATGCAACACAAATAACCATATCGGAGATCAAACCTAATCCTCCAACGGAATGTCTTGATAGTGGAGCTAATACATTAAGACATTTCGGATTTGTGACATCAACCTCGACAGCTGTAGGTTGCCGCCATATTTTCAGTCACAAAGTTTATTTTGTCAGAGGTTAGCTTTGAAAGTTTTACAGCAAATTTTGTCTGTTAGTTATATGATATAAAAATGCATTGAAATTAATTTTTGTGTTTACATCTTTTCTAAATACACCAGTAATTTGACTATTTTGCTCGTGAACATGTAATAAACAGAATATTTAATAATGTCTTCAGTAATAATACATATAGATTTCACAAGATAATTAATGAAAATAGAGTCAATCTTCGATGCACAGTGTCTCCATTCATAGAAACACGATTAAGTCGAACCATTGGATAAATCAAATATTTCATTTGGTCGCGTTTACTTTGACTTATCTATGTTTTACTGTGTATATTTTTTTGTGCAGTTACCTAGTGATTTTTATCAAAATACTTTTTATTGTAACTATACATACATTTATTAATTTTTTTTACTAGAAATTTCCTTATTTTTAATCAAACAATTTCTTATTAAGAGTGTGGCCGAGATGTACCACTACACTACTTTTCTCTGAGTGTGACATGTTTTGTTGCTATTACATATACGCTCAGTGTCCACAGTTCAAAACATACCAAGATTTATATAAAGCATTTTTGACATATTGGTCACTTTCTTCCACACAACAACTTAGGATGGTTTCTGTACCTTATAAAGGGCCATTGGTGGAAGGGATTATTGAGACACCTAAATTCATACTACCACTCTTGATTTAACTTTATAACTTTGTATTTGCTTTATGTTCTACGTATGTCATGTAATTTATGAAATATTTGGGGCAGATTGCCTTGAAAATTTGACAATTCACTTGTCTGTACTGTCATCATTACTTCATTGATCATATATCTATTCAAGTAATATAAACCCAACGGACATTTGCTTGTTAGGATCCATTACCAATATTGGACCATACCATCGATATTGCTTATTAGATGAGAGAGAGAGAGAGAGAGAGAAAAGAAAAATAACTAAATAAATATTTTGTCAATTGTTATGAATAAAAATCAAAGAAAATCTTGATCGTTTTCAATTTCACATTTGATACAAATTAGTTCTGTTATTTAATGAATTATTATAGTTCCTTCTCAAAAGACATTTTATGTAGAACTCTCCTGGAAAGAGGTAGAATATAGAACAGAGACATCTCTCCTTAAGTACGAGAGTTAATTATGCATGTTTTCTTGATAGCAGGATTTAATTTTACACATTTCTATGGGAAATAAAAATCACTTTATATTTCTTCTTTATTTCATTGGTTTGCATTTTTGTCTGAACTATTTTTAATTAAGCTTTATTCTAATTAATGCTTCTTCCATAACCACAGGATACGAAGTTTTGTCGGAGGGACACGTCGAGAAAAATCGTTTATATAGTATGTTTATTTCGTAGTAAATTGGTATCCGGAGAGTTTTTTTTTAATAATATTTCACCCTGTATGTGTTTGCATGTCAATAGTAACATGATGTCAGTCTGTCTGTTCACCCTGTACTCCTCAAATATAGTTACGAAATTGTCTGTCCATCTATATCCACATTATCTGGTGTCTCCTTTCCAAGAGATATATAAAATTCTTGTTTGATGATATTCACGAATAAGTTCTGCCTTCTCCTTCCTTTCCTCTGCTCTTCCTTTTTCTTGCTACTGTCCATGATAAGAAATTCTGTGTTTACCTTTTACCATTAATGATTTTGTCACTCCTTCGGTCCTCATACGTTTTTTCCCTCTGACATTCCGTTTATTGACCCTCCCAGCTGTTTCGCCTCCATCTTTCCCTCCCTTTTCTTTCCACCACTCACAGTTCATTTCGTCTCTCCTCCTTTCTTTCTTCCCTTTTCTTACCACACATACCCTGTTGCCTTTTCTTTTTTCTCTTCTTTTTTCCTTCTATCATTTGTTACCACCTTTATCTCACATTTTCACATTCTCAACTTTCTTCTGTCTTTCCTTAATGCTACCTTTCTTTTCCTGGTACCTTGCCTCATTTTTATTCTCCCTGATATTATCTTTCTTTCCTTTTATCCATAAATTTCATCTTTTCTGCCTCTCCACAATGACTCGTCTCCATTTTATCCTAACATTTTACATTTTCCATCTATCTCTCCACAATCTTTCATTCCTCCATTGCTGCGGCTCCGGTCTTTCAACCCCACTTCTCCCTTCTCCTGTGCCCCACAACTACATTAATTTTTGCACACGTAATGAATGATTTAAGATATAAAAACTGATTATGTGGTTGAAGGTTTTTATCCTCACTTACTTCCTGTTGTCAATGGATAAAGGGACGTGACACGCGAGCTCTTGGCTCTGTCCATATAGTCTGTAGCATGGTAGTTCTCCTCAGGTCAATTTATGATAACATCTATTATTTTAACTTCTGTTTGTTTATCTTTAATTTTTTATTTGTAATCATACTTTTAATCAAAGATTCTTTTCTCAAATTGAATAATATTCAAGTGGAAATTCAACCTATCACCCACCCACCCTTTTTTTGTAGATTTCAAATTTCAAATAGTTTATCCTGATTCTTTACTAAATAGACTTGATATTTTTTTTTCACCATTTCTGTATATTACTGTACATTTTAGACAGATCAGAATCATGAGAATGTTTACCTGTGTGACATCAATTTTAATATTCAGAATGTTTTACTTATATGAGGCCTTAGCTCAATTTCTTGAAAGAAATTTATAAATAAACTTTCATTTTATGAAATTCTTATTCTCCTTTGAATTTCAATTAAGATAATAATCATATTCTTTTTTTTTCTTCGAAAATTGATATTCCTGAAAGTTGAAATACATTTCATTTTCAAAAATTAAAATATTTTGCTATAATTCCAATATATAGAATATTAATTAATATAGGTAGAATAAGATACTTATAAAAAGGACATTTACTTAAAAAATGGATAGCTACTGAAAAAAATCATGTGAAATGACATTCATTTTGAACTCCAAAGTACATGTACATTGATGGTGAAATTAGAGGGATTTTTCATAGACAATTATGACTAATTTGATGGTTCCTAAATATTTCTTTGTTGTAATTCTTTTTATAAACATATATACTTGTATATACCTGTTTTATTTTGCATGTTTATTTTATAATCTGAATAGAATAACACTGATGATTCTGTGTATTTTGTCTCTTGAAATGTATAACAAATGGTCATATGGAGAACTATCACCCAAAAAAATAATCAGGAATTTCAGTCTGGATGCATTTAAGTGAAAATTGGTTTCATGATTTGTGAAATTGAAGTACAAAAGATTACTGAATGCTGAATTATTATCGATCATATATCCCTGGTGAACTTTACATTAAAATGAACGGTCAAACCTGTCTGTAAGGGTCACCTCTTTGTAAAGGTCACTTGTTGAGTCATTGAAACTATATAAGCGTCACCTCTCTGTAAAGGTCACTTGTTGAGTAAATGAAACTATATAAGTGTCACCTCTCTGTAAAGGTCACTTGTTGAGTAAATGAAACTATATAAGGGTCACCTCTCTGTAAAGGCCATATGCTTTGACATTACAATATAGTATTGTTCAAATTATTGAACCTCTTTACCATGGTCTATATAACATCTTCCATAACTATTCAGTTAAAATGAGAGATTACTAGAGAGGATTATGATGTAGATCAATTTTAAAAAGTATTTTTATCGAAAACACAGACATGTTTTTTTTTTTTTTTTGGCTCAACTGGCCCGAAGAGCCAAGTGAGTTTATGCTGTGGAGCTCTGTCAGTTTGTTGTCTGTGGTCTGTCATAAAAGTCACACAGGATCAGAATTGTTAAAACCTTATAACACCTTCATCTGACCAACCGAAAGTCTAGTTCCTAGGATGAAGCCAGATAAAGTTTCGTAAAAATGACCTTATTCAAGGTCACAGGAGTAGACATTGCTAAAACCTTTCAAGAACTAGAACTTAGCCTGATAAAGTTTGCAAAAACAAAATTACTTCGAACCTTTTTCAAGGTCACAGGGGTCACATTGTTAACACTTGTAAAAGACTTCTTCTGGTAAACCAAAAGTCCTAGAAACAGAATATGTGGTGGAAAGACGATTCTAGGTTAAAGCCAGACAAGTTTTGAAGAAAAAAAAAATGTCATTTACCCATAATCCAGTTCATAACTGTTTAGAGTTGAGTATTAGAAGCTGTTTGTTGTGGAAACTGGTTAAAATTGATAGGATGTGCCCACTTTGAATGCCTATGGTGAATGTTTTATTCATTTTGTCATAAAAACTGACAGCATTTTTGATGAACATTGAATAAAAGGAGAGCGATGCAGGCCTCTTGTTTTTGTGTGTATTATATCTTTTTTCTTCTTTCATCCACTAGGAACTAGAATTTAAATATCTTGCAGCCAGGAGAGAGTTATCTTCTATGTTACTTGTGTTTTTGTTGGTCACAAATGACCAAAGATGATTTATCAAAAACTAAACTGAATTTTCTATTAAAGTTTCTTACTAAAAACAGTGATATTTATTTAAAGTTCTTTTTACTTCGGATATATTGGTAGAGCAGTCCTAGCCAGATATTGTCAAACCTGAATGATCGACCCCTTAATCTGTATGACAATGGAGACTTCCGATGAAAAAAAAAACTACAAAAAAATTGTCAACAATAATCTGAATTTTTTTACTGATTCATAGATTATAGAATTAATTCACACATTGCTTCTTCAATTTTCATTCCAGAGCAAAACCGATGCGATTCAGTCAAGTGCGTTCATCTGTATCTTGATTTAGCAACATAATGGATAGGACCATTGGAGTGTAGCACCCCCTGTTGGATTGTATATGTAAGCACTGTGATGTAAACGTGATGGACTTTACCTGTTATCAAAGGATTGTGATACCCTTTGATTTTGAAAGTGGTGCCCCCATTTTGATGGAGAGTAGCGCCCCCCTGTGGATTGTATCTGTTGTGTGGCATGTCTTATATGACAGCATCTAAGGAGAGACAGTGGCGCCCCCTCTAAGTGATATCTGCAGAGAATGGTGCCACCTGCTGGGTTGTATTTGTGGACAGTGGTATTCGTCCTTGGATCCTATATTTTGAAGTTGATTGGTTTTTTTCAGGGTTGTCATTCCATTGATCGATGAATATCATATGTAGTGTGGCATTCCCTTATGTATCTAAATCAACAATCCAAAACTCTTCATTAATCGTGACAATTGTCTCTATGGATACGGTTCAACAATTGAAATTATTTCTATCATAGCTCCTTTTTTCAGAATATGCAAAAATACACATGTTCAGTTTATAAAGAATATGATGTGAGGATTTGTCTTTGATATGTGAATTTAGTTTAAAAATCTGTTCATTTATATATTGAATTGCTGTCATGGTGTAGTTGTACCATATACTTAAATTTAAGACATAGATAATAAACATGTTTCATCTGATTTTTCAATCAAACCAAATCTAATTTTCATTTGATTGAATCATTCATTTACCTATTTAATTACTTTTCCCTGGGGAATAATTTTTAAAGAAACATTTTTTTAGCTGCAGTTTAAATCTCTTAATTTTGATCCTTTATCATGTAAATTTCCATAGATAAACTGTAAAGTCTATTATGTGAAATTTTGCACTTCTCCCAGTTAAATATTCAGCAGTAAACACACCCTCACAGGGTGTAGATGTTCATTAGTAATGCAATAAAAAATATTTCACCTGTCTATAAGTAGCCACCTCCATGATCGGTCAGTTTGGTCATTACATCATATTTGCAGTGTCATCAGTGTCCAAGATATAACACAAATTTATATTTTAATGGAGTTATTGTCTTTTTTATATATATTTGACAAGAACAAATTTTGAAGAATTTTTCAGCTGATTTGACATATCAGGTAACTAAGAATAAATAATACACTGTAATCTTAATACACAGTAAAAGGGAGGGGAGATAACCCCATCTTATTTCATTTGATATTTTTAACAATGTGTAAGGTCACATATATCCTTAATGATTCTTTTTTTTATTGACAAATAAAACTAAGAAATTGATTTTAATATTTGTAAATCAAGTTTTAAAATGAATGTAATTTATTTTTACTACATATATTTATTTACATTGCCTGTACATGTTATAATATTCAGATATTTTGTTTATAGAGTTTTAATCCAGTCACGAAAATCTATAATTTTCCTTCCATTTTTACATCAGATTTCTGTTTTATTTATGTTGATATTACTTGCTTATTGAGGAAAAATAAAAATATTTCAGCAAAAGATTTTTTTTCGTGTTGTCATTTAAAGGAGCATAACATCAATGAGATCATTCCAAGTTATGAAATTAAAGTAAATGAGCATCTGGTATTTTCTAATTAAAAACTAGTAACAGTAATTGAACTTTACCGTAATATTTCAATCTGACATCTTCAGTACCAGTGCAATTACTTTGATATTCTGCCCTTGTTGTTTGATTGCCAGTTTCCTTCATCATCAGGTGGTTGCCAACCATTTCCTGATAAATCAGTCTACAACAGCATCCTCCTGTTTGTGTGTCAGTAGAGGTCAGCATTTCACAATTGTTCAGGGTTTCAAGCAGTTGTTGTTTTGACAGTGCCAGAATGTCTGTTCTGCTGCCTCCGCTAGTTTTTTAAGGCTGTCTATTTAGCTTTTTTCTAAACTTTTACAAAAGCTTTGTCAGTGAACGAGCCGAAAAAACCTCTGCACTGGACCCCGATTGGAAACCGTGACACACTCCATCTCTTGTCCCTACAGCCAGCCATATGGTCTGCATATTTCAAACTCTTCATGTACACCTCCTCACCATTCTCCTCCTATAGTACTGTCAGCTGTCACTTCTATGAGACTCTTTGATGCCACTGATTTGAGAATCACGTCTGCATGGGCGGTTTACAAGCCATCTTTCTTTTGCTGGTATCAAATTTTACGACTTTAGCTGATACATGTATCTAGCTATTACAAAACACTGAAATATGTTTTATCAGCAAACCATCATCTGTTTTAATTCACCACTGTTTCTTTTCATGTCTTTTCATTGCAAGATTCACAAAATTAATTCCAATGTAAGAAATTTGGTTACCAGGTTCCCATCTAGATTCACTCACAGCTTCCAGTCCCTTCTTCTGTCCAGAAACAATGGTCTGTCTGGTCTTCTTATCTCAGTTATTCTTGTCATGACTCACAAAAATTTGATATTTGTCCTAGTCTTGCCTTCGGATGTTTTTCTCTCCCGTCTTCCTCCATTTATACCATCTTACTCAGGACTTCTTGTGGTGCCATCTTCATGTTAATCATCAATGCTTCCAGATATCCTGACCGAATGCAAGACATTTTCACACATTTTTCCACACAGTTGTTTTTGTGTTAATATAGATTTGACCATTTCGGACCACAGTTGGTTTGCAAATATGGCGAGATCTACAAATCTCACTTTCCTTTCTGACCTGTCATGACTAAATCTTTTGAGGACAGTATTGATTTTCACAGGTCCATTGAGATTTGTGTTGAAAATATTACATTCGAAGTGTTGATGAATCGTTTTGTATGAATAAACCAACAGGTGTCAGAGCACTCTATTATGTATTCCCTAGTGGCAGAGATTTCAAGAGCGACAGCAGTATGTCATCAGCCATGCTCAGCAGAAATAAAATCCTGTATTTGTCCTCAATCTATCATTCTATCAATCAATTTTCTGATGTCTGGACAAAACACATGACTCATTCAATTCAAAACTCATGGAAACATTTAGTGTGCAGCATAACATTTTAGTGAAAAGCTCTGCTATTTATGATGACTAAAACTGGTATCAGAGCCGTTGAACAATTGTCTTTCAAAAGTGATTGAACTCTTTAGCACATGTTTTCATTCCTAATACATTCAGGAAACCAGTTCTTTGAATAATTCATTGTAATTTGCCTCGAGGAGATATAAGTGAAACATTTATGATGATTATCATAAATCTCATATGAGATTCTATTTATCACATTAATTCAGATACTTTTGCATTATTTGTGGTATTTAAAACAAATCAAAATTTGAGATTTATTTTCAACAATTTTTCAACAATACATTCATAACAATTGTGATGACATTTAGATGACAATGAGTGACCATCATGAATAAATGTTACGAGTGACCAGTGCTTTGCTGACCAGTCCAGAGAATGTGGTCTGAATGATTTTATAGAGTTTTTGATACTGAGCTGTCAACCCGCCCTGATGGCCATCTATCCGACTCTGGGAGCCAGCATCTGGTTTGTTGTCAGGATCTATAAGTTCTGAGCCTAGGACATTACTGGAGGAAGTCAGGTGAGATATACAAATACGTCCTACTTGTCCTAAAAGAGTGGTGGCGTCCTCGCACAATGGTGGGAATGCCTGGCACACTCGCACCAGACATGGAACTGTCTCCACCAGGAACTTTGCACGATATTGACCATCCAGCACTGAAACAGGAACACAGGTGCAATAGGTGTACTGAGGAAGGGAACAATGAAACAAGGATGTTACTGATGAGGTGCAGTAGGTGTACTGAGGAAGGGAACAATGAAACAAGGATGTTACTGATGAGGTGCAATAGGTGTACTGAGGAAGGGAACAATGAAACAAGGATGTTACTGATGAGGTGCAATAGGTGTACTGAGGAAGGGAACAATGAAACAAGGATGTAACTGATGAGATGCAGTAGGTGTACTGAGGAAGGGAACAATGAAACAAGGATGTTACTGATGAGATGCAGTAGGTGTACTGAGGAAGGGAACAATGAAACAAGGATGTTACTGATGAGATGCAGTAGGTGTACTGAGGAAGGGAACAATGAAACAAGGATGTTACTGATGAGGTGCAATAGGTGTACTGAGGAGGCACAATGAAACAAGGATGTTACTGATGAGATGAAGTAGGTGTACTGAGGAGGGGAACAATGAAACAAGGATGTTACTGACAAGGTGAAGTAGGTGTACTGAGGAAGGGAACAATGAAACAAGGATGTTACTGATGAGTGCAGTAGGTGATAAGGTGATATAAATCCATAAAATGGATGTGAAATATGTATCAAAGAAGCTTTATTTTGAAAATTTAAATAATATCATTTCATCTTAAAACTATAACTTGGAATATGATTCAAAGAAGTTTTGATTTTGATGGTGATATATGCGAGAGTTACTTACCCTCTATCATTGTAAACATGACGTTCATCACAAGCTTGGCCACACTCAGAGACTTTGGCAATGCATAGTGACAGCAAAGGTGTGATGTAAGCTTGATGGCAAAGATCTGGAAAATACACCAACATAGTACAGATAGCAATTTTTGATAATATATAGCAACAGTACCGTAAAACACTGTAGGGTTGAGATACCTTGGCTTATAACCTGGAAAACATAGAAGTTATATATATTGTAAGTTATTATCAATATGTAGCATTATTATATAAATGATACAAAATCAATAACTCCATATCACACAGGCTGGATCAAAGCAAAGCAATGATCACTTTTGAAATGTTTTTCTTTTGATTGTCTTCAAAAATTCCATTAGGTACCTGGGTACGTTTGAAGACGAATGTTCCAGACCATGTGTGTTATTACCTGTTTCTCTATCTGGGGCTGACTGAGAAGTTCAGGCACAAAGTCCAAACATATGTGCATAGAAGGGATCCCCGCCACTGCAACTGGTAGAATCTCATCACTGTAGCCCTGTAACAGATAACAAATTAATCATCACATTTTGTAAGATATTTATATTTACAAATATACAGTATTTCTTCTGTCAATTCTTGACCTAAACATGATCATACAAACTTTGAAGCATCCCATTTCATGATTTTACCAGGACAGAAATCAAAATGTTCTTGTCCAGTTAACAACTTGTGACAAATATGCTGTTTCCAAAACATTTCCACTGTTAAGGGAGGTCACCGATTTATTTTTATGGATATGGTTTGGATGAAACAATGACAAAATGTAAAATAAAATAAAGCACATGGTTCCTTTACATGAATACTTTAGAAAAACATCAATGATATTACAACAGAAAGGAAAAGGAATTTTTCAGCATATTTATGCCAAAATCAAACAGTTTCAAGGCCTGACACAGAATTCTAAGACTTCAAGGATTTTGTTTTATCTGACCTCACTTATAATCATGTTGTATAGGAACCATTACAAGAATTATCTGTCCTCCATTCGAGTTGAGAGGGAAATATCACTATTTCTAGGCAATATTTCTAGCTGTATGTGATTAAACTCATGACAGACTCACTATTTTCTGTAGTGGTTTAAGTTGTGTTGATTTTGTAGGTACTTTGAATCCAAAAATTCGCAGCAATGGATGAACTGTCACGGAGTTCACATGAATTTTATGAGTCCATGGTATTTGATAGTGAATTTTGTACTATTTATTCACAAACAAGAGATCCCAGAGGGATCTTGGCGCCCACCATTTGAGGATCTGTTTTCAGTTCTTGAAGATGTTTTTTTTTTGTTTTTTTTTTGTTACAGGTGTTGTAAATGTTCATGAACTGGTCTTCATTGAATGTACTCAATGATGGCACAAGACATTTTTATAGGGATATAGTGATAAATGAGTACCCTTTATTAAGTTGTATACTTATTAAATTCAAAATGGATGATTGTGGTGATGATGATGATGATGATGATGATGATGATGATGATGATGATGATTGTGGTGATGATGATGATGATGATGATGATGATGGAGATGATGATGATGATGATGATGATGATGATGATGATGATGATGATGATGATGATGATGATGATGATGATGATGGTGATGATGATGATGGTGATGATGATGGTGATGATGATGATGATGATGATTGTGGTGATGATGATGATGATGATGATGATGATGATGATGATGGTGATGATGATGATGGTGATGATGATGGTGATGATGATGATGATGATGATGATGATGATGATGATGATGATGATGATGATGATGGTGATGATGATGATGATGATGATGGTGGTGGTGGTGATGATGATGATGATGATGATGATGATGATGATGATGATGATGATGATTATGATGATGATGATGATGAAATGATGCACATGTACAAGAGCGCAACAAGTATAATAAAAGTTCAAAGTTTTTTAAAACATTTTGTTTTTCGTTTTTTGAATTTTAGATTTTATATTTGATTTTATTACATTAATGTTTTTGTAACATCAACACTTAAATATTAGGTATTAATGACATTTTTAATAAATCAATTCTTCTGTTACTTCTCATGTGTCAACCCATTTGCCATTAACTCAATTCATTGCATGGTTTAGTATACATACCCTAAACAGTGTATTTATCAATGTTTACTTAATTTAGAAAATCTGATACTTGAGAATGACTGATCATGTAGGTAAGAAATAGCCATAAAACAATTACTCGCTGTTCAAATCCAAGATGGAGAGCTATAGGCCATTTTGTTTTTCAGATCATTCTAAATATGGGACAATGCTTAACTAGGTACCAAGAGGAAGCTAAATATGAAAATTGAGAAGGATCCTGTCACAGCCATAACAAACTACTGTATTACTGTTGACATCCAAGATGGCTGCCTGTGGGCCACCTTGATTTCAAATCAGTCCAAAAAAGGTATAATGCACAACTAGGGACCAAGGGGAACCTGCATATGAAATTTGAGAAAGATCCATCCAGTACTCTCCCAGAAATAGCGGTAACAAACTTTTACTTTCAAAATAAAAGATGGCCGCCTGTTGGCCATCTTGAATTCGAATCAGTCCAAAAAAGGTACAATGCACAACTAGGGACCAAGGAGAACCTGCATATGAAATTTGAGAAAGATCCATCCAGTACTTCCCTAGAAATAGCGGTAACAAGAATTGTTTAAGGACGGACGGACAACGGACCACGGAAGAATGGCAGAAGCTCGAAATGTATGAGCGCAGCGATGTCTTGGTTTGAAATTTGTGGTTCACTCTTAATAATGAACATGTACTGACTTTGGCAAAAACAGATTTTAGAGAAATCAATTTATTGTATTTTAGTCTAATTGTTATATTATTTACATTCTGAAACTGCAATTAGCACAATATTTCAGCACAATACTTTAAGTATCAAATCATAAATGACATGACTGATCTGGAAGTGTACAACTTTTAGGTTGAAGAGTATCAGTATTATCTAAATATATCACTAGTCATTTGGGACATGACTCACCTAGAAGTGTACAAGCTAGGTGAGATTTCGGTTGGAGAGTATCTGTTAAAATTATATAAACCACAAGTTGTTAACAACATGACTCACCTGGAAGTGTACAAGCTTTGCTAGATTTGGGTCGGAGATGAACATCTGATGGATAAAAGGACAAATGATACACTGGACCTCTCGTCGATTATTCAGTAAACCTTCATCTTCCTGTAACAAACCAATACAGAACATGTCACACATTTCAATAAAATACTTTATGCAGAAAAGTAAAGCAAATGGGTAAAATATCCCTCCCCGTCACCTAACATATACTAAGTATTTTCATTTATTCTTCTATTCAAACTAGCTTTTTGATAATTTAACAAGCAAAAAAAATGTTCATGGATTCCTCTCATAATATATATAAATAATCCTTTTTGCAAAAGCAAAACAGTATCTCGAAAACTTGAATTTTGCATGCAGTCTTGTATACTGATGATGGCACTCGAATAAGATGGGAAAAAAACAACATGATTTTCTTTCAAACTGGACAAAAATTCTCACAGTTGATTTTGATATTTACAATCTGTTGAAATTTGTTATTTTTTTTTCAGATTATAGTTTAAATACCTTTCATAAATAAATTATGATAAAATCATATTTTAGTATTATCAACAGCAATACCTGTTCCTCAGGTAGAGAAAGACAGCATTCCAGTAGTATCTGTACCACAGCGCTCTCCTGTGCTGCAATGAGGGCATTTTTTAGGTCCCGTCGCTCTGTCTCATTATGACTGGCATGGTCAAGAATTGGGTTGGTAGTCATGTGATTTTGTAGATAGACACGACATCCCTGGACATAAGCATTCAGGACCCGTAACATTACTTCTAGAATTGGCGGACACCTATCACAAACAAAACGATCTGGATTAACAGCATAGGCTTATTTCTTGATTAATCTTTTAACAGAGAGATGGTTTATTTCACACTGTATTTTGCACATGAAGTTAACTTTTGTTCCCAAACATCAACTTTTCAAAATACAAAATTAAACGGCCAAGTGTCTATGCTGTTTGTTTAGTGGGTTAATCACCCTATGAACAGTCAAGGCCTTGTAGTCGCTGGTACAGAGAGTATGTCTACTTACCTAAATACCTTAGAGCTTCATCTCAGATAAAGTTTGGTATGTCTACTTACCTAAATACCTTAGTGCTTCATCTCAGGTAAAGTTTGGTATGTCTACTTACCTAAATACCTTAGTGCTTCATCTCAGGTAAAGTTTGGTATGTCTACTTACCTAAATACCTTAGTGCTTCATCTCAGATAAAGTTTGGTATGTCTACTTACCTAAATACCTTAGTGCTTCATCTCAGATAAAGTTTGGTATGTCTACTTACCTAAATACCTTAGTGCTTCATCTCAGATAAAGTTTGGTATGTCTACTTACCTAAATACCTCAGAGCTTCATCTCAGGTAAAGTTTGGTATGTCTACTTACCTAAATACCTTAGTGCTTCATCTCAGGTAAAGTTTGGTATGTCTACTTACCTAAATACCTTAGTGCTTCATCTCAGATAAAGTTTGGTATGTCTACTTACCTAAATACCTTAGTGCTTCATCTCAGGTAAAGTTTGGTATGTCTACTTACCTAAATACCTTAGTGCTTCATCTCAGATAAAGTTTGGTATGTCTACTTACCTAAATACCTTAGTGCTTCATCTCAGATAAAGTTTGGTATGTCTACTTACCTAAATACCTTAGTGCTTCATCTCAGATAAAGTTTGGTATGTCTACTTACCTAAATACCTTAGTGCTTCATCTCAGATAAAGTTTGGTATGTCTACTTACCTAAATACCTTAGAGCTTCATCTCAGGTAAAGTTTGGTAAGTCTGCTTACCTAAATACCTTGGGGCTACATCTCAGGACGATCAAAGGATCCACAGTAATATCATTCTCTGTGTAGGTAAATCTGTTCGGAGTGAACTTTCTATCACCAGATGTCATGGCATTAACCGTTGCCAAACGCAGCCTGTCATACAAAAAAGACACATTAAAAATCCATTATATTACATACATGTGATTGTATATAAAAAAAACATATATAAAAAAATGAGACATGTTTAATAAATTCAATAGGACATGGAGAGGAGTGGAAGATTCTGTTGATCACATCACTAATATTCATTACAAACTAAGAGAAAAGACTTGCTCTCATAAGCATTTTTATCAGCTACATATTTGATGACATCAGCCACTAAATACACTGAAACTTAAGCTCTTGAAAAAAAAAATGAAATTATTTGAAATAAAATGGACAGCTTTATCACAACCCTACTGATGTTACAGACAAAATTTGAATGAAATCCATTCAAGCATTAAAAGCATTTTGAAGCAAAATGTTTTCTCATTTCCCCTTTTGGAGCTCATACCCTTAGTCCCTAGATATTGAATAAAATTTTTGAACTTAGGAATTAATTATCAACCCCTACTAATATTACAGACCAAATTTTAATGAAATCCATTCAAGCATTAAAGAAGAGTAGTGTCTTGATGCGAAGTATTGTATAACTACCCTTTGGGGCCCCATCCCTAGGTCCCTTAGGGTTGAATCAAATTTCTGAATTTAAGAAATGATCTCCCACCCCCAATGACGTTTCAGACCAAATTTGAATGAAATCCGCCTGAGGCATTAATCAGAAGTAGCGTTTTAAAGCAAAAGTTTACGGACGGGGACGGCACACGATGACGGACAATGCACAAACCTATTTGCAAACTTATCATGAATGCGTTAGGCACATTTATTCAGTTTGCAAAAAGATTTTTCTTTCATACCAGGATGAAACTAAAAGTTGTGTGGTGCAGTGGTAATGCACTCGCCTTACACCTAGCCGTCTGGGGTTCGACTCATGGAACGGGTGTGAAAAAGTAAGGGTCACCTGCCCTACCATGTGCATTTTCCCCGGGTACTCAGGTTTCCGCCCATATTAAGACCCCTCGTGCACTTACATCTGGGCCAACAAGAGTGATTAGTATAAGTTGAAATAACTTGTTTCACAATTGTTGTAAAATAAATAAAGCTTTTAAAAAAAATAAAAACCAAAAGAATATTCCTAACATAGCTTTCATGAAAATTTGAACTATTGCAAATAAAACCTATGCAGGTAACGATCATCGCTCCTCTTTGAGTTATCTACTAATACAGACTTACATGCGTGGACTGATTGTGTGCAGTTTAAACCAGGCAGTCTTCACCATGTCCTGGACACGCCTTGGAACACCTGGGGCAAGTACCACTGGCAGACTTCCCACTAAGGTGTCAGAGAATGGCAGCAGATTAGCTGTTGGCTTCCTCAGTAAGGCCTGAAGTTGAACCACAGCCTTTGCTGGATGAGATTCCACTTCTTGTAGAGCTACAAGTACAAAACAAATTTCCTAAGTATGTGTTTGTTAATATGGAACATTTTTTTAATCAAATTTCAGATATCAGTCAATGCAAACACACCATGTACATAATCTTTTAACATCTGTTGTCTAACCATGCACCTTAAACTCTAATACAAGCCCTTTAGAACTATTTCTCATATTTTTGGATAAATTCTACTAAAATCTGAATTTTATCTAAACTTTCATTACTACATGTACTACTTTTCAAAGTTATACCTGACAAACGTCTGCGAAAAATCATAACAGAAATGCTCGGTTTTTTCTTGTATTGGAAACAGGTACAAATTTGAATCTGAAATTAGCTGTATGTTTGGTGTTTTTTCTAATGTTAAAATCAAATAATCTAATATCTTATTCTGTAATTCTTTGCTATGGAAAATGTTGTGGAATATCGTCATGGTAGCTATAGGCAGTCAGAATCAGATCTTATAGTTTGATATGGTGGCAGCACAGTGGTAACACACTTGGTGGAACAGTTTGACCCCCCCCCCCCCTTTCCCCACTCCTCCATAATAATGGGAATAACTTGTTTTGAAATAGGTGTAAAATCAATAAAGTTTAATTTTCAGATCACAGGGTGGTGTAGAGGATTTCATTATAGTTTATTTTTGTGATTTTACCAAAACCAAGAAGAATGCATTTTCCTGTGATATATCATAAAATCAATTTTTTTCTTTTAATTTCTTACTTAAAAAAAGAATAATAATATATCTATCTTTTACAACTTCAGCAAGAATTATTGTTTTGAAATAACTGTTTTTACAGGAGGAGACAAATTTTTTTCCCACAGATATGATTCCAGTGCTGTGTCACAAACCTGCATTGAGCGACTCAACTGTACAGGTTGTGGGACTAAGGGGAGACCATTCACTGTGTTGTCCGTCTTGTACCATGATTTCCTGAAGCCAATCTTCAACAGCACACAAATGAGGGTAGTGAGTGGCCAATAACCTGTAACAATTTAGTTGTTACTCTCATCAAAACATTTTTAAAACAGTCATATGGATCCTGTAATAATACCTGCCGCGAGCACATAAACATGGACTCAAGCTAGGAGATGGGCTTATCCTAGGACAATGGTAGAGAATAAATAAATAAATATATAAGCAAATAACTAAATAAATATAATTTCAACCATTTGACTGTTGCATGAAATTATTTTCTCTGTGTTATGGGTTGCCAATAAGAGTTATGATGGTCCCGTGATTTGCACATGCAAATCCATACTATGTGTTACCTGTATGTGTCATTCAGGCAACATAGGTAATAACAGACCCATGTAAAATTTAGCTTAAATGGAATTAGAAAGTTGTGGAAATACCCATGGAATGACTTTAAAGGTTCTACTGAAACAACTGAAGGAACAGAAGAAGGAATTTAGGGATTATTTTGATGCTAGGTTGACTAATTTAGAAGCGAATAAGGATGTGTCAAAAGAGTTGAAAAAGTTGAAAGATGAGGAGAATATAGTGTGGAAGCATGAGGGTAACGTACAGCAATATTCCTTCAATGCTAATGTTTTGGAAGATTTACATCAAGTGTTGTGGGTTTTATCAGTCGGTAAGCTTGAGTATGAGGGTAACGAACAGCAATATTCCTTCAATGCTAATGTTTTGTAAGATTTAAATCAAGTGTTGTGGGTTTTATCAGTCGGTAAGCTTGAGTATTGTGAGGAGATTGTCACTCAAACAATTGGGAAAATTAATAAGCCCAGTCAGTTAATAAAATCAGATTTGTACGGTGCTGTTTTGGACATGGTGAGAGAACATGTGGCCAATCCATTGGCTAGTGATTCAGAAAGATAACAAGGGTTGTGAAAAGATTGAAAGAAAGATAGAAAATGAAGAAAGTTTCATTTCAGAGCAAGTAATATGCCAAGTAGGGCTTTTCTGAGGGAGGTGGTGGTCTTAATTCCTAAATATCAATTTTTTCATGGCAAACAACATGCATCTCATAGAGCCGGTTTCACATGTGAGGATATCAACAGTTACTGAGAGACATCAAAAGGTGCTGGATCCTAGAGAAACAAGTGAATATTAAGGAGGGCCAGTCCATACAAAATAAGTATCCCATTTCTTGAAACAAGGTATTTACTGAAGACTTTTTAAAAAATGAACAGGAGCAGGCTGACATTACTGTATGGGGCCACCTATAGGAGAATATAGGGTTTGGAGAGATCTTGGTCTAATTTGTTGAGAATGTTGTTTTTGGAACCTACAATAATAATGTATCTGCACTGAAAAACAGTGAATTTGTGAAGAAGGCTATTTCAGATTGGGAGAATAGGAAACTAACTGACAGGTGTGATAAGCTACCTTTAGTTACAACTCCTGTTCAAAGTAAAGAGAAAATGATTATTAAAACAGGATCTCAGAGAGGGGTGAATTTATAGAAGCAGGCTATTAAATATGATGATTGGTGAGCAGGTTTACTATGTATAAACTGAATGGTTGGTTAATAAAATTTGATATCCATTTCACCTATTTTCATATAAGAGTGCATCCTCCTTTCACTCAATATCATTAGTGGCTAAACTGAGAGGCTGGAGTTTACCAATACTGTTATTGTATGTAGATGATGGTTCTTGTCATAACACAAGTCTGTTTCAGTTGAACAAAGTGAAAAGGTCACAAGGGATTATATTGCTTTTGGATTTGTATCAAAAGCCGATATATCCATGTAGGATTCTGTACTGTGTATGATAATACTAAACTTTGTTGGGTATTTTTAGAATACCAGAATATTGGACTACGCAAGCATGTGATTGTGCATTAGATACACTGAAGTATTGTTACTGAGCTTATTGGGTAGATTACGTCAATCAATAAGTATTGTATTAGGAAATGTTACGCAGCCGATGACCAGGTGTATGAATATGTGTACAATGAAAGCAAATACATGGAACGACTAAGTGACGATTGTATATTTCAGATACAAATTTGGCTCGATCATATGAATTGTGTTAAGTGAATAGAACTTCATAATTCCCTGTTGTGTAATATAATCTTATCTTTATTACTTGAGCGGTACAGGTTACAGTGGTTACTGAGTCCAAGGTGGACATGTACCTGTAACATGGGATGTGAAATCAAGACGAGGCAGGTCAGAGTTCAATTATCTGAGAGATGATAGCTGCGTATTGGGCATAGGAGTGGACATTTACAGGACTATGTCTCATTAGAAATGTGTGCCAAGAGAGCAAAATGCATGTGCCAATTTTTTAAGTAAAACCTTCAATTTTGACGATTTGCGTTTAGCTGAAAATACTTTTCGTCAATTTAAAAAGATAGAGTTCATAATGGGTATGATAGGTAAAATGCAAAGATTAGCACCATCTATTTGAGATAATGGAATTCTGGATCTGTGGGTATAGTCTTTACAGTAAATTAGTATTTGATGTATAAATTTTTGCATTTTGTATTATCATATTGGATAATGGAATAGAAAGAGAAAAAAAAGTAAACGACTTGATAATTGTAAGCAAGAATCTGGAACACTTCAGTTTCCCAGAAAAGGCATGAGGTACTGAGGTATGTGGAGAAAATAAGCTAGTATTTAACAAGGGAAAACAAACCAAACCATATCTGCTGAAGAACTTTCAGTGGATAAGACAGAAATTAATTTACTTCTTGCAGTTAAAAAGACTACTAGGTATTTGAGTCTGCTCAACTTATCTTGAAATATTAGTTAAATTCAATGAAATCATAATAACAATTGCAAGACTGAAAACTGCTTAAAAGTAAAAAAAAGTTGCGGATTTGATTACCTGAGGAGGGGTGAGAAGAGACCTGCATACTGGTGTTGTTGTATCTGTGCCTGTTGTAATAAGTAATTGATGGGGATCTGTGATAGCAGCGTGTCCGGATATGACTTCACTTCTCTATTCGATGACACTGCAAAACACACCGAGTCTGTGATTAATACAATAGTGACACTTTGTATAAACGAATCCTCTTATTGTAACATTGTTATATTACAAGGAGTAAATTTACTCTTCTTAATATCATTTTCTTTAATGTCATGTTACTTAATATCACATCTCCAATCAAAACACTCCAATACTTAAGGAGAAAATTTATTCCACTGCTTACCATACTGTTTAACATTACTAAATGCTTATTACCAAAATATTTTTCAAATATAAAAAAAAAACAACAATTTAGCAAATATTACTTGATACTAAACTTTGAGTTACAGGCCAATCCCTTATGAAATTTGTTGAATAGCAGTCTCCTTATGTAAATACATCCTTTGCCAAATATATTGTAAAAAAATCCCATTGATATCAATGAATAAATGAAGCTCAAGGGCCTTAATAGTCAACTGAGTCACAATGCTTCTTGTACCTTGTCATAGAAATGATTTTGCTAAAAAAAGTAAAATAGCTTTAACGATATTGTAGACATGATAAAAAAGTAAATTACGTGTACATTAACTGCTGTATCATGCTAAGGCTTCTAACCAAGTTTGATTGAAAAGAAATCTCACTTAAGATTGGAATTTTCCTATATAAAATCTTCCATCCAGCAACTGTAGAACATCCATCTGCCCCTAGGGGTCAGTCAAGGTCAGTATGTGCATCTCATGAAATCATAAGCTTCTACTCATAAAAAATAAATTCTAACCAACTTTGAACTATTTCCAATAGAAAATAAATGATGTTCAAAAATGTGATTTTCCTATGTTAACTATAGTAAACTTTACTCCCTCCCAAGAGGGAAATGCAAGACCCAGGTTTCATGAAATTTACAATTTTGGTAAAGCATCTGAAAGCCTTTCCATCCATAAAGATTACTTAATTCTACCATACCTGGGATTTGAAATGGTTTTTGAAATTTCAGCCTTAATGACCCATTTCTGTCCCTGTCAAACAGCACCTGGAGTCAATCGAGATCCATATGTGCATCTCATTAAACTATCATCTTAAACTTATAATTCTATCCAGGTTTGAACTATTTCCTAAAGAAAACAACCAAACAATGTTCAAAGTTGTATAAACTATAGTAAACTTTACCTCCTCCTCATGGGGAAATGTGAGACCCTGGGGCCATGGAACTTACAATTTTGGTAAAGCGTGTGAAGGCCTTTTGTCCATGAAGAGTACTTGATTCTACTATACCTTGGATTAGGGACGAAGATTTTTGCATTTTCAGTCTATTTGACCCTTTTTGGCCCTATCCCTCAGGGTTGGGGACCATACAATTTACAATTTTGGTACATCTTATGCCATAGAAAGTTTTTGTAAAATTTCAATGAAATTGGTTCAGGAGTTTTCCAGAAGTCGAAAAAGTTAAAAAGTTTATGACGCACAACAACGGACAAAAGAGGATCGCAATAGGTCACCCAGAGACTTTTTCTTGGGTGACCTAAAAATTCATACAGTTAAGTTCATTCAAAAGAGCAGAGGAAAGTGACCTTTATTGAGATGTGGCCTTTACAAAAAGGTTCAATTATCAAGACGAAATAGTATTGCATTGAGAACCAAAACCACTGGTCTTTACAAAAAGGTACTTATTACTAAGAGGTGGCATGTTATGTGGGTTTAACTACTTCTCTGTGAAGGTTCATATGGTTCAGACAAAAGTTAGAAGTCAAGATTAAGAGATCAATTCTGTAAAAGGAACCAAATTTCCAAATGAATTTTCTTTTCTTTCATAAATTTGGTACAAATGTACAACTTCAGAATGGCACAATCTGACAGTGAAGCTTTCAAATTGTGAGAAAAAGTGGTTTTTGACATTTCTGGTTTACAAAACACCATATGCATACAACCATAATGACCGCCATGTTTGTAGTAAGACAGCATTCTTACCAATTATTTTCATGCTGTTAAGAATGGTGTCCTCGTATAAGAGAATATAGTACAACATTAACAGCTGGGGTGCAAGACTTCCTGTTCGGTCACCACTAATGCTATCATCCGTGTCCATTTTATCACTCCCCGTGTTGAATACAGATTCCTGATAAACAGCTAGCACATCCTCATCGGACATCGGCTCATTAAGATGGTCAGTCTTAGTACTCTTGACCACTATGGAGTTGACATAGACTTCGACTAGGAGGGGAAGAAGAGGATGGAGAGGACAGGAACTCACTCGTATCTGCCGATAAATCCAGTCCTGTGCAATGATAAATCAATAACCATCACTACGATTCATTGCCTTGCTGAAAGAACCAGTGATTCACTTACAGTGGAAAATTTTCCAGAATTTGTTTTTATAAAGTTTACTTCCTATTTTATTCTGGGTTTATCATTCTATGAACAAAAATATCTAGAGACCAACCTCACACCTAAGGTCTTCAACTGAGGTTGCTTTTACTCCTCTAACTAACTGAAATATTGCGACCTCAAAAGTTTTTCGAAATAGCATTGAAGTGACTCATACAGTGTAGTTGCTAGAGAGTGTGTTGACTTATACAGATAAACTTGTGGAACCTTTTTCACAAACGTTTTTGTATGCTGATTCCTTTGTATTCTGGGGTTTACCGCCATGTTTTTTGGAAATATTAGAGAAGTGAATCATAGTGTATTGTAGCTGATATTGCTAGTCTGAAAACTAACAGTAGCCCCTCCTACTACTCACTATAACACAATCAGGAAATACATTTTGATTCTGAAAATAAATTGCATTTATAATATCTTTATTCATCACATAATTGTCTTATCATTCAGTGTTAGAATATAACAATGCATACTCAATACTCCAGGAGTTACAATCACTTTCGCTCTCTGTACCCCTGGAACCATCCTCTATACTCCAGGGGTTACCATCACTTTCACTCTCTGCACCTCTGGAAGCATCCTTGATACTCCAGGGGTTACAATCACTTTCACTCTCTGTACCCCTCGAACCATCCTCTATACTCAAAGGGTTGCAATCACTCTCTGCACCCCTGGAACCATCCTCTAAACTGGGGTTAACATCACTTTCGCTCCCTGTACCCCTGAAACCATCCTCTAAACTGGGGTTAACATCACTTTTGCTCTCTGTACCCCTGGAACCATCCCTGATACTCCAAGCATTGCCATCACTTTTGCTCTCTGCACCAATTTACACATTTGTAATACATTCTAACCAATTGTAATGTCAGGCTTCGATAAATCCTCCAAAAAAGGGGGTTACGATCACTAACGATGTTCAGAAGTTCAGACTCCACAGTGCACTGTGATTTAATAGTCATACATAGAGACTCACACAGTGCACTGTGATTTAATATTCATACAGGGAGATTCACACAGTGCACTGTGATTTAATAGTCATACATGGAGATTCACACAGTGCACTGTGATTTAATAGTCATACATGGAGACTCACACAGTGCACTGTGATTTAATAGTCATACATGGAGACTCACACAGTGCACTGTGATTTAATAGTCATACATGGAGACTCACACAGTGCACTGTGATTTAATAGTCATACATGGAGACTTCAGATTTAGAGCAGAAACAACTTCAAACTTGACATGGACATGTCTTTTTCTATAATATCTGCTTGTATAAACAATCATGCAATAAAAAGAATCTTGAATTCTTTACCGTTTGATATGGAATTTTTGTAACTCGTTGAAAAGTTGGTTTTTTGCTAAGGACTCGCTTAAATGAAAATTTCTTAAGATTTGTTTCATATTTCACATATCAGATAGAAACTCTATGTAAGAACATATACACACTTCAATATGTTCTAGTGTGAGATTAGAAAGTACCTCTATCAATACTATACACCAGGTTTGAATTGTACATAGGAACATCATCTATTCTACCTTTGTATTTCAGGGAATTTCCTCAACAGCATACTGACCTTAATATTGACCTTGTGCTTGGAAAAAGCACGGCTCCTTAGGAGCTGGTACACACTGTTGATTGGAAGATAGCCTGTCATGTTGGCGTTAAGGTTGGTTGTGACTGGAACCTTCACAGCATGGGATGTAATAACCTGTGATTGGGAAAAACTGAAAAACTTCAGAACAGCAGAGATATTATCTGCAATCAAAACAGATTCTTTCAAGTTATGTTAAGGGTATAAATCAGTTACTTGTATAGTCTGGAGAAAAAACATTGGAAAGAGAAACATTCTGTTTTTTGTTACACCGAATGTAAATTTTAGTTACCTGTTCTGTGAAAATCTCTTGAGTAAAAATCTGTCTCATTCTTGCCAAAGCATTTGCCTTAACAGCACTCTAAAGAAGAAAGGAATATAGAAGCATCATGATTATATATAAATACAAATAATTTCTCTGATGTACAAGTGATCAAAGACCAATTCGAACAATTCTCCATCGCCATCGATATCAGAACAAAAGGTCCAATGTGTGTATATTGCTTACCTGTTCTGCAAATTATAAAGAAATTCTTTAGGAAGGACCTTTGGGATTGCTTCGGAGGAAATAGTTGCTGCTGTATTGATGACACACCAAAACATATGCTCACTTGTCCTTCAGACAGGTGGGCTAAAAATAAATCTCTTACTTCTAGGTTTGGTGCTAGAAACAAGTTCTGATTTATTACAAATTATCACTTTTTGTATTTGAAACTTGATTCTTGATAATTGAATCCTGATTTTGATCCTGTAGATTGCTACCAGTAAACAAAAGTAAAAAGTAAACAACTTTCCTCACCTTCATTCCTAGGGTGTTGCATACAAGGTCAGCAATGGCTGGGGTTGCATTGTTGTGGAAGTGAATTGCTATAAGAAACAGCATCTCTCCAAAGGAACAGTCATGAGTTCCCTCCCTTGAAATACAACATCAACAATTACACAATCAGTTTCTGAAAGTTTCTTCCAATATCTAGTTTAAGGCATTTCTGAACAATAGAGAAATACCATTCATATTTATCTTAAAAGTTCAAATATTATTAATAAGATCAAGCATTACAGTTTCTGCACTTTTTCTAGATTTACAGATTTGAGTTTTGTTTAAACAGGATGACAGAAAGTTATTCTTTACATAGAATCTATTTCTCTAGAAATTGCATCGAAATTCCTTTGAAAATTGCTTACTATCCCGTTGAAAATGCTGAGGGGTTCCATTACTAAGAGATGTATGTCTAATATCAAAATGTGAGTGAAACAAGGACCTATCACAAAGCACGGGCTTTACACCAAATATCTCTGTGCCCCAGAAACTTAAAGTTTATAAGATTCATTTTGTTAAAGTGGCTTGAATTCAGAATATGACAAATCAATTATTTGGTCCAGTTTAAGAAAAGAAAAGACAATCTCACATCTCATCTAGAGAACTCCGTACATATACTAACATTTCAAACTCTTTCTCGGCTCCCATCAACCATCTTATCCATTCGATGGCCTGTTTTTCCTGTTCGTGGCTTCTGAAAGATAATTAATCAAACAGTTGCAATCAGATTTTGATTTTCAGAGAAACAGAAATCAATGTTTGATGATGATAGTAAATAACTAACTGTAATGTCATAAATTTTTGTGAGGCTTCATTTTTGTGGTTTTCCTTTTTGTAAACATGTGATTTTATGGATAGATACAGCTTGATTATTCAACTTATACTAATTTTTCAGTTTGTGAACATATGAATTAGTAGATTTAGAGTATGTACTAACGAAATAACTGACAATAAAACCACCACAAAAAAATAGGATTCTACAGTATATAAATATAAACTTTATTTATTTTACAACAATTGCGAAACAAATTATGTTAACTTATACTAATCACTCTTGTTGGCCCGGATGTAAGCGCGCGAGGGGTCTTATTGTGGGAGGAAACCGGAGTACCCGGGGAAAACCCATGTGGTCGGGCAGGTGACCCCTTACCTTTTCACGTCTGTTCCGGGAATCGAACCCCGGTCGGCTAGGTGAAAGGCGAGTGTGTTACCACTGCGCCACCCGACCACCCAATTCTACAGTAACATGGATCAATAAATCATTAAACTCCACTGCAGGTAAAAAACACTTAATTTTGCAATGAATTAACAACTGTTTCATCAATCATTAAATACTTGAATAATATGATTAAAAACTACTTTGTAGGCTCGGCTTAAGAATCGAACCTGCTGTCACCATTACATGATTGTAAGAGATGACTAAACTTGGGATCTTAATGTTCTCTCTTTTCTAAAGATCCTTCTCCTTCCTAAGGTCTCCATTGACACTGCATCCTTTTTGGCCTTCAGTTGAGGTATCTCCCCTGTGAGGAAGGCTTTGTATTCCATCCCCTAGCCGAGCCATATCCAAGTCTTTAGAATTGTACTTACTATGGGTACTCCATGCTTAATGTTCAACATGTGGTAGTGTAACAACTGGTTCACATATTGTCAGTATAATGTGAGTAGGTGGGGTTTCCTGTCGGAAGCCTTCAATAGTAACACTATGGTAACACTATAAAAGTCAGCATAATTTCTGCATTATCACAGGGATGTTTACACCAATATATTGCAATTTCCCAAATACATACACATTTAACACATGCTCTCATCTCACATACACTGTCCCTAAATGACTCTAGTTGTTGAAACAATGTTAAACAATATAAAGCAAACCAAACATACCAATGAAACCAAATCACAGAGCACTATCTGCATACAAGGAAAGATAACTCTGCACCCAAGTAAAAGAGACATTGTTATTGTAAATCAATTAGATACTGTGAGTACTTTATTTCACAGACTTACCTCTTCCAAAATATTCGTGAATAAACGATTTCGCGAATGCTGATCTAGAAATTAATAGATTCTGATATTGGCAACAGAATCAGCATGCATGCCATCCAGAATTACATTCATACAAATATTCACAAGGTATTCTAAATTGTGATTATCTCTTCTTGCATATTAACACGAAAATAAATTCCATATGAATAATAAGTGATTAACAGTAATCTAGAACTCACCCTAGTAAGTATGGGCAGGCTATTAGCATACATAAACCAAGGGAGACAAATCTTGCCCCTGCTGGAGTTAGTGGCGGTCTAGAAGTCACTAGTCTCAGTAACAACTTCATTTCTTCTTCTGAGAACCTGTACAAAGATAAACTGTAGTCTTCACCAGGAATATATCACTCTAATCATCAGAATCACAAACTGTTATTGTTCAATTATTGCGAATAGTTTTGAATTTTTCGATAATGCTAATAAACTGGATGCAGGCATTGTTGCATTTTTATCCAGATCAAAGTAAAAAGAATTTTTTTTCCTGAATATGTATCAATTCGTTTTTGTCTATCTCACGATAATAACATTCAGGTTGTCCCTAGAGTTTATCCAAGAGATCCAAATGTTTTCACTGTTGCTGATGTAATGAAAGCACCTGGACAAGATTTGCAATGGATTAAAAATCGCTCACTGAAAAAAATGTTTTCTCAGGTTCAGTCTTCTCCTTCTCTTTAGTAGTGACAGACCTTGAACCTCCTTCTTTTATTATTGTTTGGAATTAACAAACCCTCTGTGACAGCTCTATCATATCCTCCATGTGTTAGGAAACTTCTTCCATCATCTCACTTCTTTTCAAAAAGATAATGCTTTGTACATACCTGAGTGTGGCCATGCCCTTCAGAGCGCAGTACAGACGGACAAAGGCACTGGCCTGGATGACGCTGGACTCTGACATGGCAGAACCATTGTCTGGGAGGATAGAGATGAGGCGCTCCAGCAGCCACAGTCTGAGACAGTGTAGGGAGGATGTTGATGGCTCACGCTTTCTCTAAAAAACAGAAAGATTTAATGTGATATAAACATAACTTCAAAATCTAAGGGAGATAAATATGCTTAACAGGTCTTTAGACATTTCAAAGGGTGCATGCATCGATGCCAAAACAAACAAGGGAAAATAAAAAAAAAAAAAAAAGAGTGTCCCTGAAACCACTATATTGGTTAAAAATTGAACAAGGGGCCATAATTCTGTAATTAAGGGGTTGCAAGGCCAGAATTTGGTTTCGGGATCCTAGTTTTAATGCAAGCAAAACCATGATCATAACACAATTTTAACAAAAGATAATAATTCTGTAATGAGGGATCATTTGCCCAGACTTTGCTTCATTACAACTTTGCTTTAGTCTGACTGATCAGTTTCAATATCCTAGTAAATGCAGACAAAATATTGCTCTGGACAAGAAATTGTAACAAAGGGCAATAACTATGTAATTAAGGGGTTATGGGCCTTAACATTGGTACGCTGCACATTGCCTTTGTATGATTGATGTATACACCAAGTTTCATTATCCTTGTTTAACTGCAAGCAAAGTTATTCTCCAGACATTAAATTTTACAAAGGGCAAACAACTCTGTATTTGAGAGGTCAAAGGCCCTTAATTTGGTACAATGCACATCCCCTTTGCATGAACAATGTATACACCAAGTTTCATAATCCTTACGTAAGTGTGGGCAAAGTTATGCTCCTAACAGGAGAGGACAGATGGACAGACGAGCATGAGGTAACTATATGCTCCTATGAAAATGTTCAGGGGCATAAAAACTGCATTTACAATACGAATACTTACAGAAAGAGAATATACATTGTTTCATACATTTCTTTAATTTTATAACAGATACTGGTATGAACTGCATTTAGAGAAAAAGGGAAGATGTGTTTATGAAATACAATGCACCTGGTTGCAACAAAATTCTGTAGTGGGATATTAAAACTACACTTATATTTTTATTGTGGTAATGATTTTTTCTACTCTCAAATGTAGGTCACACATGCCAAATATAATAGCTCTACCTCTTATGGTGCAATAGTTATGGGCAAGATAAAAGCTGACAACTGTCAAACAGCTTAAAAAAGTGCCCCCGATCCTTCGATCTAGAGGCATAAAAATAGATAGAAAAAAAAACAATCGGTAAATAAAAAAATAAGCTTAAGTTATTCCAAACAGCTTCATCTGATTATTAATACATATATGAAATTTTGGGTTTTCATTAATTTATGTGTCCATACCTTTAAAGTAAATCTCAATATAGCAATAAGAATAGCAAAGTGACAGCAATACCTTAAATTGCTCAGGTAACTAAAAACAGAATAACATGGAACAACCCAAACCTTCTGTCCAGCTTTTATGTAGAGAGAGAACCAGCTCCTCACAGGTATATCGTTACCCAGCAACAGGCCACTGATGAAAGCTATCATATCATTGGTTCTCTCTGTGGTTGTCATGGTATCAGACTTTTTGAGGTCACTCATCTTCAAGGACAAGGATACAGCAAGCCCTGGCATAGTACAGTGCTCAACCTGCAGAGGTAAATGGTCAGAAACCATCTAGTCCTGATATTTAAAGTTCAAACTACAGATAATTTTGAAAGAAAAAAAAATAAAGAATTAACCAATATTGATAGAATTGTAGAAGTTTTCTGTTGTAGATCTGAAAATCATCAAAAGGTGTTTTTCATACTTTTCTAAATATAGCAGGGGTGCAAATTTAGACAGTATTGATTGAAAATGGCCCTTTAGAATAAAACAATGAGAAAAAGTAAACAGAGTATACCAGCTGTGTCACCAAGTGTTAGGGGTACTCACACACAGAGCACGAATGTTAAAAGCCTCTCCAGGATTCATGGCACACAGGCTAAGGAGAAGCTCCATACGGCGACGCCCACCTAGACTCTCCTCTTCTTGCCGTTCGCCTCGACCCACTAGACTCGCACATACTACCAAAAATAACATTTATACATAGTAAATACCATTACACCATAAATAATACCTTCCATCAATAAAGAAGAGAAAGAACAAACTTATTCATAGTTTTGTTTATCAATTTTGGGTGATTTCTATGGAAAAGGATTAAACACAAACCTGAATCACCATCCATTTAATACACACTGCACATACCTTCCTTGAAAGAATCTGGAGCATTGCTGATCAGTCGACACAGAAGCCAGCTTCCATTTGGAACATGTAGCAGTGCCTCTGATACCTCAACTACCGGCAGTAGTGACGGCAACTCTGTAACCATAGTTACAATACAGGTATATTATGCTTATTTCAGGAATTTACATTAAAAGAATAAACAGTCACTGCACTATATTAAACTAATGGAACTAATCTACTAGAATCCATACATTTGTTAAAGTGCCATCTGACTCCTACAACAGATATTTAAAAAGTCATTTAGACAGGCAGGTAAAATACAAAGCCATTAAAACAAAGCTCTTCAGTACAGATTCAGACAATCTTTACTGGAAAATTATCTCATAACTAAGTCTGATGACAGTAGTAGAAGCAATTCCTGTGGTCATATTCTTATCATTATGGCTGTTTTTCATAAACATGGAATTGAAAAGCATCACTGCTATGGCTGATACCTGACATATTTGAAATTTAGAAACAAAATTCATATGAGAATGAAAATGAAAACCTTACCTGCCTGTGCTATACACAATACATCTGACAGCTCCTCCAAGTAGGCATGACTTTCAAACAGCTCAGACTGTTTTTGATAAAACTCTGCTCGAGTTTCTTTTATCTGAAAAACAGAATCCAAATGCATGAAATTAACTCTCAATTGACAAATCCATGTTATTTAAAAAAAAAATCAGATTATCATACTAAGTCAGATTTATCAAAATTTGTTTAAATCACCCTTTTTTTATCATGGCCAAAACAATTTCAGTAGAGTTTTGTTTATGAAATGCATGTACTTGGATGGACCTTGAGATATCATTATATACTTTTGGTGAGACTTGACAAAGACTCTACAAAATCTGCAACAAGGTTCACTGGCTTACAAAAGATAGGGCATGGGCTTATTACAGGACAATATAATAGTTACAATTTACAACATCACTAAACAATGATATAGATTACCAAATTAATATCATAAAATACTCAAATGACATGCAGCTCAAAAGAGAGACTGATAATAATAAAATTTGAAGTTATTTTTCATTTGTTAAGGAAAGGGCCGTTTTACTTCATCTTGGAAAGAAATAAATCAACTGGGAAGGAAAATCTGAAAAGTAAATTAGATATTTTAGTCATAATATAAACTTAATCCAATGGGCAATGAGGCCCTTATTTCACCCAGCAGAATCACCGAAGATGACTTGAATTCCATTGGAATTTTTTCAGTTATGAGGAAGAAAATATTATAAACCTCATACCTGTGACATAACAAACAGTAGTTCACTTAACAATAACCGTATTCTGCGGGCTGGGTCACTTCTCTCAAACTCTAAGGCGGGTCCATTTTGAAGTTGTGCTATCAACACGCTCTCTGTCTGGCTCCCACCAAACTTAGACCTAAAATGAACAAATGTTATATTTATAGATCAATAAAAGAAGTGAAGTATGGAATGAAGCTTAATTTTTGTTTAAAAAATCTCAAATACTAAAAAGTAATATTACTCATCATCGAGCTCATTGGATGGGCCTTGGAGACTTTTCGAGTCGCTCTGAACAATTTGATAAGGTAACAGCATTTAGCAGTCTTTTCCTTTATTACATATTCACACATGGTAAAATAAATGTCACTAAACTTTCAGTAACTCACTTTTATCTGGCAATAAAACCATTATTTTAATCTTCTCCGTACTCTATGGAATGACATCATATAAGATCCTTGTGTACATTTAATAAAAAACTCAAAAAAACCCACTGATACTGATGTACAGGGTATACTGGATGGGACTCCTATATAACTCCTCAATAACTAGAAACCACCCATCCAGTTCTATCATGCAAAACTCCAGAGCCCTTGATATTTAAAGAAAAATTCCCCTGTATATCTTATCTTGAATCATTAGGTAAGGCAATTTGGTCTGACAGAGTACATCTATGACCTATGACCTAGTTGGCCACTGGTTACCACTGCAACACCTATTTGACACTAAACTGTAAGTCTTCACTCATCTATAATTGATAACTTTGAAAAGTGGGAAATTTTGATCTATAAAGATTATCTGTGCTGTCTAAAAAGAAACAGAGAATTGGGACTAGATAAACACCAAAGGAAACACAATGAATCTCATTTAAGTTGGCACATGCAATTATCAGACTGGGAAAACCACAAATTTGTGTATAATACATAAGCTGGCCTATAATATGACAATTGGGTATGGATTTGTTACAGAAAACAGCCTAAATCACTTTAAACTAAATTTTTCAAATTTTTCGCCAGAACTTCATTTATTTGGTCATGTAACATCGTACAACTGTAAAAATTGGAAGTTTATTTGCACTTGGAAAAATAATGAAAAGATATGCAGTAATCCTGGATTATATGGTCTCTGTTGTGAAAGTACATGGGGGCGACTCTTACATCAAGTTTCTAAGTAGCCAGAACTTTCAACAGTTAAAAATCATTGACCTTTTCATAAATTCATGTAACTTTAAACGGTATATTGAAAAAAATATCATTTAAACAATTTAGGATATTTTCAGTAACAAATAAAATACCCAAATTGGCGTATATATCTCCACTTAGGATACAAAATGCAAATTTGTGGATTAGTGACACGATATAGTGTCTCTATATTTCCGCATTCTTATTAGTAGTGTTTTGACTCCAAATGTATATCAAACATTGCTTCGTGTAACGTCAACCTGTATGTGTTTGTGGCTAACGGTCGGAAGTTAGCTAAGCTAACATAAAATCTACTTGGTCGTGCTGAATACCTCAGCTGTTGTTCTTTGATAACATCTTGTTCCAGGGCATTAAAATCAATAGAGAGGAGCGCTACGATGCTGTTGACCACTTCTATTCCATTGAGAATTTTGAGAACTTCTTTTCGAGACTTAGTCCACGTCGAACTTTCATCAAGCGGTTTGCAAAGTGCCATGCGAACAAGGCAAGGTAACACCGGCCTGAGTTCGCGTTCAGTACAGCGACTTAAAACATTGATATTTACGTCCTGCATCGCCTGAAATACTTCAGGTTTCACAGGTGTCCGAGAGGACTGCATGCTCTACTGATAATTGGGTATAAACAATATAAATGTATGAAAAAATCACATCACGTAAAATGTCAAATGGGAGCAGCCATTTTATGCCTTCCTAGTCAAATAAATGTTTGCATCGCACGATTAGCGACGACTATGAATTAAGAGTCGAAAAGACTGTGATAATCAAAGCAATGGCGGCCAGTAGACAAAGCTCGCTTGCCGGACCAGGTACGTAATTGTGTTTTGGGAATTCTATGAATTATTTGGTATTAATGAACACACAGAGCAATATTTACATGTCAAATTCAAGTGACTGAAGACTTAAGCATACAACAGAGTCAGTATGTCTCCAGTATTTATTGCTTTTGGTGGAATGTTTATTTCTGTTCTTTTCAGATGTAGATGAACAGAAAACCAGATTTCAAGCTGAGCTGGAATTTGTACAGTGTCTTGCAAATCCAAATTACCTGAACTGTGAGTATCTGTATGTAGATATACTGTTGAACGTTGGGGCATTTATAAAGACATCCAAATCTGACATATCTAAATCTTATCGGTTATGGGTATAAATCACATGTATATTGGAAATTTTAATGTACATCTGTACCTGTAGTAAGCATATATATAACTTTATCTGATTATATATGAAACTTGATGGCAAATACAACATATATTCCTTTTATGTAGAAGTATTTGAAAATTTCAAATTTGTGATTAATCCTCCACCTGGAACCAAGAGGAATATAGCTTGTGTTGTGTCCATCTGTTCTCGGCCTTTCAGTTATATTTTTCAGGCCCTGTCTTCTACAAAACTAATTATATAGACTGTAAATAGTTACTAATGGTCACAATATAGGTCAGACTGACTTAAAAGTATGTACTTTTGATATTTGACACACTGTCTCACCAAGGTGAACCCATATACCAAGAGCTTTGACTTACAACAAAGAAAAATGTGTCCGGGCCTTATCTCCTGTTCTACTTGTCACTTGAACTCCAAGTGCATATTGGATCACCTTTTTGAGGCAATGTGTCGTATACCAAATGTAGTACACCTGTGACCTATAATTTGACCCTTGACCTACATCAAAGAAAAGGTTTGTCCAGTCCAACTCTTGTACACTGGTGTACGAGTTTGCATTGATCAGGAGATATGTCTTTATTAAAAGTAGATCACTTTGACCTAACATTTCGACTCATGACCTCTATATAAGAAAAAGTGTGTCCAGACTCCATCTCCAACACTTCTAGTCATTGGAACTTCATACTTAGTGTAGGGGGTTTACATTGGTTAGGTGATGTGTCTGATGGGTACTGATATTCACTGAATTGTCTTGTTTTCATTCAGATCATATTATGTAATCATTAATTTCGTGGGAGATTTACTTTTGTTGATTGGTACCTTTGTCCACAAAATCATATGTCTTTGCACTGATGTTTATCCAAGAAATCAAATGTCCATGAGATAGTGAATTTTTGAAAAGCTGCCCCACTCGGAATTCATATTTTTACAGTATTGGTTTTTTTATCAACACTGATCAAATGCTTCAAAAACAAAATTTTGACAAATGAAATTTAAATGTTTACATATGCATATTAATTATTATTCATGTTTAATTGTTATGATCTATATAATATACACTGTTTGTATGTTTAGAAATATTTACTTACAAAATAAAATATCTTCTTTCAATTTCAGTCTTAGCACAGAGAGGTCTTTTTAAGCAAGAAGAGTTTATCAACTATTTGAAATATTTACAGTACTGGAAAGAGCCAAAATATGCAAAATTTTTGAAGTAAGTTTGCAAACTGTTGGCACATTTAAAATTAGCAGAGTTCAATTTAGCACATTATGATTCTTTTGGTAAATGAGCACAATGATGAATGAATGCATCCACAATACATAAAAACAACATACAGAAAATATATAAACAGCTTACAGAATATTTAAACAACATTCAGAATATCTAAACAACATACAGAATATAAACAACATACAAAAAATATATAAATAACATTCAAGATATTTAAACAACATACAGAATATAATCAACATACAGAAAATATATAAACAACATTTAGAATATAAACAACATACAGAAAATATATAAACAACATACAGAATATAAACAACATACAGAAAATATATAAACAACATTTATGATATAAACAACATACAGAAAATATATAAACAACATTTAGAATATAAACAACATACAGAAAATATATAAACAACATACAGAAAATATATAAACAACATACAGAAAATATATAAACAACATTTAGAATATAAACAACATACAGAAAATATATAAACAACATACAGAATATAAACAACATACAGAAAATATATAAACAACTTACAGAAAATAAACAACATACAGAAAATATATAAACAACTTACAGAAAATAAACAACATACAGAAAATATATAAACAACTTACAGAAAATAAACAACATACAGAAAATATATAAACAACATTCAGAATATAAACAACATACAGAAAATATATAAACAACACACAGAAAATATATAAACAACATACAGAAAATATATAAACAGGTTTGTGGTGGGGTGGGAGGGGGTGATGAATGGTGGACCCTTCTGGCTCCGGACTATATATGTATGTATATGCAGTATGTATGCTTCTGACATGTATCGGGATCAGTATTGGTTATCAGATGATTTTTCACTGTAACATAGTGAGCATCCATGCTTAAATTGACAGGTTCCTATATGTAAGTGAACATGTTCAGTTGGTTACAAGATATCGCCTGGTTGATATACTTATATACATTGTAATGTATAATAATTGTGTTAGATTGATTCAGATAATTTCTGCAGGCATTGTTTCATGTTTCATATTGAATGATATGCAATCTCTGTTCTTGGAGAGTTGTTCTGAATTAAATACATTTGTAATTACATTTTATTGAATTATTGAATAATTAAGTGTTTTTTACATATCCTTATCTAAATTTTGGCATTTTTCTTTAGATTTTGAGAGTCATCAGTCTCTTGATCTTAGCTATCTACAATTTGTATTTCAACATAGTGAGTCTCTGACAAGTGTTAGAAGGATGAAGCAACTACAAATGTATATGATAGTTCTAATTCTTTTTTTGGCTACACTGTATCTAATTTGATGTTTCCAGTGAAAAATGTTATTCACATTACATATCCTTGTGCAATCCTTTATAAGTTTCATTCCTGTAGCTGAATCTTATTAATATTGTTTTCATGTTTTCTTTTGATGGTTAGATATATAGCTTGTGAACATTGCAAAAATCACATGATTTTGTTAAGTCAATAGACAATACATGTAGCCTAATTATGTCCAACATAAATGGTGAAAAGTAATGAAATCACATGATGCTTGGTTGATTTTGATTGCAAAATTAAACATCAAATGTCAATTCTTGGATATCATATCCAGTTTGCTAAGAATAACGTTTTGCAGTAAATTTATTGTACATTCTTAAGACAATCTAAAATATGGTTTCACTGTTATATCCGATTAATGCGATGTGATAACTTTCAACCAAATGTAACCATATGTAGCTTTGTTATTTTGTCTTTATGGTTTTTAATGATCATACAACTGTATTATCATATCCTGTGAGTTTTGATAAATGTATCAGTTTTATTCATCTAGTGGTATTATTAAATATTTATGTAGGTGTTTATAATTTTCCTTCCTAGATTGGTCACTATCTTTCAAAAAGCACATGAATTGATCAGTTTTTAATGGTATGCTGGTATCTTTAATTTGTTGTAGATATCCTCAGTGCCTACACTTTCTTGAGCTGCTGCAGTATGAATATTTTAGGAAAGAGCTTGTTAATTCTCAGTGTGCTAAGTTCATTGATGACCAGCAACTGTTGCATTGGCAGCATTACCAGAGGAAACGCATGAGTCTACTACAGGCTGAGCTCGAGCAGCAGCAGGCAGCACAACAGGCAGCACAAACAACCCCCACCACGGCGCAGCACAAGGACAAGTCTGGTTAGTGATATACAACAGATGACTCTGACCACAACACAAGGACAAGTCTGGTTAGTGATACACAACAGATGACTGACCACAACACAAGGACAAGTCTGGATAGTGATACACAACAGATGACTCTGACCACAACACAAGGACAGGCCTGGCTAGTGATACACAACAGATGACTCCAGTCACAACACAAGGGCAAGTCTGGTTAGTGATACACAACAGATGACTCCAGTCATAACACAAGGACAAGTCTGGTTAGTGATACACAACAGATGACTCCAGTCACAACACAAGGACAAGTCTGGCTAGTGATACACAACAGATGACTCTGACCACAACACAAGGACAAGTCTGGCTAGTGATACACAACAGATGACTCCAGTCACAACACAAGGACAAGTCTGGCTAGTGATACACAACAGATGACTCTGACCACAACACAAGGACAGGTCTGGCTAGTGATACACAACAGATGACTCCAGTCACAACACAAGGACAAGTCTGGCTAGTGATACACAACAGATGACTCCTATCACAACACAAGGACAGGTCTGGCTAGTGATACACAACAGATGACTCCTATCACAACACAAGGACAGGTCTGGCTAGTGATACACAACAGATGACTCTGACCACAACACAAGGACAAGTCTGGCTAGTGATACACAACAGATGACTCCAGTCACAACACAAGGACAAGTCTGGTTAGTGATACACAACAGATGACTCTGACCACAACACAAGGACAAGTCTGGTTAGTGATACACAACAGATGACTCCAGTCACAACACAAGGACAAGTCTGGCTAGTGATAACTGGAGATATTTATTGTTCAAGTAACAATCTCTCTTACATATGGAAAACAAAATAATCACTTGTGGTACAAATTTTTTTATGCTCCCAGAAAAAGTTTTGGGGAAGTAAATAGTTGCCGCCTTGTCCATTGGACTGTCTTTCCCGCTGCCTTTTTGTGTTCCTAGAAAAGCTTTGCCCACAGTTAAACAAGGATCATGAAACTTCATGTATACATTGGTCATACTAAGGGGATGTGTATTGTACCAAATTCAGAGCCATCAACCTATTAATTACAGTGTCCAAGGTATACCATGGCTTGCGTATACACTAGGATAACAAAACTTGTTGTAATCATTGATCATACAAAGACAATTTACAGTTTACCAAATTCAGGGCCTGCAACCTTTTAATTAGAGTTATTGTCCTTTGTGCAAATTTTGTGTCTAGAGCAATACTTAAAATTGCTTCCATTTAAATTAGAATAATGAAACTTGGTGGATACATTGACCTTACTTAGACAATGTGTGATGTACCAATGTTAGGACCTGCAAACCTTTCATTACAGAGTTGTTACCCTTTGTTAAAATTTGTGTCTGGAGCATTAATTTATCTGCATTTAAACTAGAATGTTGAAAGGTGATACATCAGTCATACAAAAGCAAGGCTCTTTGTAGCAAAGTCAGGGTCCATGACCCGTCAGTATAAATGAATGTAGTATTAATGCGGGATCATATGTATTACATATCAAATACCACAATAGGCTAATCGAAACATTACAATATATAGAAAATGATCATTAAAATACAATTTTATAATCTTAATGACATATGATAATTACTACTTAATAGGTTCTACTGACTAGCCACTTGGATTTAGTCTAAAGATTCTTGTAGCCTTTCACTAAATATTCTGATCTCAGCAACCTTGAATATTTTGGTTTCCATCAATGAATACAGTGAAAAATTCCCTTAAACTGTCAGCAACATTGTTGCAAAGGTCTTTGGTGTCAGTGTTACTGATGTTTATATAAAGTCACTAAAGACTAACTGGTTGACTGATCAGGTGGGAATTTGAGATATGTGTATAGCTAAAATAAATTTTTCTGATATTTCTAAGGAACAGCTATTCAACTACATTGTAGCTTGTTGATTATCAGCTGTGTTTATCCAATGTTATAGCTTGCTAGGCAATAAGGCATAAATCAAGTGGTCATTTTCTCTTCAACCTAAATGTTTTTCCCCATAAATTCACTATGCTTGTGAGAATGTTATCCACTTTCAATAGGAAATTTTGGAATTTGTTTGTGTATTGTGGTAACATTATTTCATAATGAGAAAATATGGCCTAATGCAATGATGCTTTTCTCACATTTCATAGATTCTTGATGCTTATCTTGCCATGCTGTCACAGAAATAGTGGGACAAGGGCAAGAAAGTGAAGTGTATGAAAGATTGAAAATCACGACAAGTATAATGAATGGAAACCAAATCATTAGATCCCAAAAGGTATTTCAATCAGCAACATGTGACTGTAATACTTTTTGATATTTTCTTGTTAAACATTTTGTATGTTTTATATAAATGTGCACATACACAAGTAATAAGTTTTGCTACCTCATACATTTTAACTGCAGACAGGCATAAAATTGACATGTCGTTAGAAGAGTCATTCAACTAGGGACTTAGTGGTATCTTAATAAAAAGATTCTTGCAGTTTTTCAGTCAATTGCAGATATTTCTTGTATTCATTATGTTACTTATGTATGGTCTCATTGTTTGATATCTACAGTTGACAGATACAGTGTTTAATATACAATTAACTGTTCAATTGGATGCCTTCCAATTATATGATTTCCACCATTGACCCAAATTGTTATGCATATCATACAAAATAGATTGGTGGATACAGATGACATTAATTTTGTGTAATTAAGGTCACTGGGCCTCAGACTGGATTTTTGTACTTTTACAATTACAAAAAATAATTCTACTAGGTGTTTTTTATGGACCTGGTTGCAGTGATGGATGCATGATAACCTTGAGAATGGCAGTTATCACCTTGGGACCATTCGAAACAATTTGATCGTTAAAATTACTTGGTATATTGCCTAATGGTAAACAGTCTGTTGGACATAATATCACATCTGTAGACTAAATACACACAGAAAAAACCCCAAAATTTCCATTCGTTTTGATGATCTTGTTAAATTTTGAATGGAAATCTTACTTAATTAAGTGGAACAATTAAGTACAGGAAGAGGAATTTTGACACACTACATGTGCTATAATATCTTTATGCATGTTTTATTATGAAAGTTTAACAGTGTGTTACACATTCAACCTAATTTAGTGTTGTTTTAAGTCTTGAATGAAAATTTCAAAACTCTTGCTATTGAAATTCATTGCTTATTATAAATACCATCTATTGATCAATTGGATACTCAAGTGTTGAAGTTCAATTTAAGGTGAGATTTTTTCCAGTTTTCCATGTACAATAAAATTATTTATTTCTAGTGAAATTGGAGCAGAAATGATTTTCATTTCACATGTACACATGCATGTGTAAAAAGTGGGAAATGTTAACTAAATATGCTCAATCTACAATTTACAGTATACCTTAATGACTGCTGACCTTGTTGTAGTTTTAATTACCAAGATGGTGAGGCTTCAAATGTGGTAAATATGATATAATTACAAATTTTGCAGTAAGCTATTTCCCTTACCCATAGAATTTATTCCCCAAATCATATTTGGAAAACAATATTTATGTGACCAGTCATAATGGTGCATTGTGATTGTCACAATCACTTAGATAGTCACTTTTGGTACATCAGTTCCATACGTTCAGACAAGAAAATGACCTCACATGGGTAGTTGATACATGCTTAATTCTGTTAAAAATGAATTTAACCAACAATTATCACCGACTGTTTTTTCAATAACTGAATTTATCATAAACTTTTTAATAAAATGATGGATTAAGTTTTCTTCAGTAATTCTGATTAAATGTTTGAGGTGCAGGAGAGAATTCCATATGATAAAATTCTGTAGGAGAAGATAAATTGCCATTACTGGATTAGGATAGGCGAGATGCCTAGCAACCTGTTCAGACTCTGAAGACGGTGTTGTTTTGTTGTTGGTCTCTCTAGGGCAAATATGAACCAAAGAAAGATTTACACAGACTCCAGAAAAAGTACAAGGAGAAGAAATCTAGGACCCGTATTCATGAAACAATTCTCATGCTCAAGCATAGATTTTGTGCTCAAGTAAACTTTTTATAATTCACCTACATCATATGAAATAATACAAATGTCAAATTTAAACTTTGAATATAGCTTTGTCATGAAGTCCTTTCAAAATTGTTTTTAAGTCTTCAGAAAAATCAGTCTTATTTATCAATTTTTAACTTAAGCAAGACATAAAGCTTGAGTACAAAATTTATGCTTGAACACGAGAATGGTTTCATGAATAGGAGCCCTGGTGTGTTGTGGAAGAATAAGCATCTTTTGCTTCATCGACGACACCCGCCATGTAAACCTTGGTAAATCTAAGTATGTAATGTCACACACTCCAGTGAGAAGAATGTGTACAACAATTTAACAAACAAGTAAACTAATGAGTATCAAAAATATTCAGCTTCATATCACACCAAAAAATAGAATATTTCTCAATGAGATCACAAATGCGACCATAAAACTTTCCCACAATTTCATCAACTTGCATAAAATTCTGTGTTGTGAGTTTGTCCGTGAGTTGACAGCTTCTTACACAAAAATGATGGTAATGGGAACAGGCCCTTGAATATTGAATCAAATAAGACATTTAATCAACCATCTGTTGGGGATGCAGGGATATTGCTATCCAGAGATGGAAAATTCTAAATAAGGAAATTGAAATCATCACGTTTATCATACAGCTTGATGGAAAGCTGTCCATGTTGAATTTTATGGTAGGAAAAGATCAAGATCAGTAGCTGATGTAGAAAAATCTGTTGTGTTTGTTAATTCCAATTCCAGTGATGGACATGATCAATAAAGACAGGACTTCATCAATGTACCTGATGGTGAAATTAAATGACTTTGCAAGGCCTTTGTGACTTGTTTTGATAAGCTCTTCAGTAAGTTCTTGTATGAAAACAATAATAATTCAGTCAAGAGAGAAACCCAGTCAGTTCCAATAGGTATGCCAATAGTTTTTGTTTATGATATCACCTAACTCAGTGAAGATGTTTTCAACCAGAAACTCTATCATTTATATGCTTATGACATACCACAGCATCTGTTCATCGCCCGTTTGTCCATCTGTCCATCTTCTTTTTCATACGAATCCCTACTAGTCATAAACAACTTAAATGATTTTAACAAAATTTGGTCAGAAGCATCCCAAGGGAAACAAAAGCAAATTTTGTATAAATGGTGGGTCTTGGCCCCTTAGGGGCCCGCATGGTGAGGAAAGAAAGAGGAAATTTTGGAAGCATATTCTTCTTTTAAGAATGATTGGATTTTAGCAAAATATAGTCAGAAGCATTGTTGAGTGAAGGAAATATATTTTGTATAAATGGTAGTTTTCCGCCCCATGGGACGGGAGGGGCAGGGCTGTGCCAAATAGGGGTAATATAATAAATTCTATAAAATCCTATTGATTCATTAGAGATGATTGGATTTTGCCCAAATTTCGTCTTAAGCATTGTTTTGTGAAAGGTAAACAATTTTATGTAAATGGTAAGTCTAAGCTCCTTTGACCTGAGGAGCAGGGCCTTATAGGGATAATAGAACAAGTTCTTAAGCCTCCTGTTAGAACAATTTAATTTTGTCTAAATTATGTCTGAAGCATTGTTTGGCGAAGCGGGTCAATTTTGTTCAAACAATGGGTCTCGGCCCTATGGAGATGGAGGGTTTGGACCTAATAGGGGTAATTGAGCAAGTTCCTTAAAATCCTACTCTTGTAGGATTAATTGGATTTTGCTCAAATGGGTTGAAATATTGTTGGATAAAGTGAAATAAATTCTGTATAAATGGTAGGTATTGGCCCCCTGGGTCTTAGTGGCAGGGCCAAATAATGGTAAAAGAGCAAATTCTTTATAATCCTACTTTTCCTGTAGGAATGATTGGACATACCCCAAATTTGGTGTGAAACAACTTTTTATGTAAGTGTTTGGTCTCGGCCCCCTGGGGTAAATCTTTCTTAAATCATAATTTTTATTTGACCCCTAAGGGTCGAGGGACAGGACTTCAAAAGAGGAAGTGCTGAAATTAGATTTAAAATAAGACAATATTTTCCTTCAAAACTCCTTTCCTTTTTAATGCTTGAATGGATTTCAACTTAATATGGTCTGAAACGTCACTGAGTGTGGGGAATAATTTCTTAAATTCAGAATTTTGATATAACTCCTAGGTGATATGGGGAGTTGCTGAAATTAGAAATACTTCTTCATGTTAAATTTTGAATGAATTTTAATCAAATTTGATGTAAAGCATATAAAGCATGATTTGACCTTTAGGGATCTGGGGAGGGTGGAATGGGAAAGTTAGTCAATATTTTGCCTCAAAATGCTACTCTTTCTTAATGATTAAAGGGGCTTCAATCAAATTTGGTGTGAAATATCACTGAAAGTGGGGAATCTTTTCTTAAAATCAGTAAGTTGATTCAATGTCTAGTTGATAGGAATTACCTTGATCCACTTGAAAGGACACAGGGATAAAGTATGTTAAAATCTTTAAATGATTCTTGCCAATTAACCAAAAGGCCGATGATGATAATAGGTCTGTACTTTGTTAATATGAATTTTATTGACCCATTTTCAAGGTCACGGGTATCATATGTGTTAAAATACTTAAACAACTTCTTCTCAATAACCAGAAAAATGTTCATAATTCACAACTTTAAAAAAAATTATTAACATAGCAGTGAATGATATGCACAACTTACAATGTAGTTCAAGTTACATTACTTGGTAAACCAAATGTTTCCTGTGACTAACTGTATGCTACTTGTTTAACATAAACAACAGCTTTTTATCTGATGATGGTGGGCTATTTACATCGCCCTGCGTCCGTGGTCCATATTCCGATTGTTCATCCGTATAAAATTTTTGTTATCGCTATTTCTTGAGATTTTTCCAGTTGGATATGTTGGTTCCCTTTTGTCTCTATAATAAATTTCAGTGTCCTCCGAGCCCTGATGATGTCGTTTTTTTCCGTCGGTGTGTGAACTTGACAATAACAGTTCTTCTACTGGCGTTGTCGAATCTTCCTAATCGGTGGGAGATGTCGATGTCCTCCGTGCGTAGGGGAACTTTCAACTGTGTGTTAGAGAAGTCAACCACTTTCTTAACACATTCTTCCACTGATTCCTTCACTGACGGGTCAGGCAGACTGGTTATCCTTATAGAATTCTTCCGGCCATGCTGCTCAAGGTCATTGAGCTGGTTCTCAAGGTCGTTTATCAAAGCTTCCGAGTCGGTCTCTCTTTGTTCTAACACACTGACCTTCTCCATCAATACCCCATTGTCAGATTTTAAAGTGCTTATCCTCCACTTTAGGGAATTCACAAGCTCTTCATTTTCTTTTCAAATCTCGATCTGCAATTCTTCTTTCAACTTCCCGGCGACCATATCAATATACTCCTTCGTAACAGAGTTCTCCTGTTTCAGTTACAATTCTAACAAGAATTTGTACAATATTTTGACGAATTTTGAACATACTCACTCAGTAGTTGCAGAAAGTTATTGCAAGACTGTTTGATAAAATGTAAGAATTCTTCGGTTTTCATCTCCATGGTTTAATCAAACGTCCCCCAAAGCCAGTTGATATCAATAAGTTTTTTAACCGACACCACCAATTTCATTTTCTGTGATTACATTCAATCCTGCCATTATACACTGACTTCGATATACAATTATTAGTCTTAATTAGAGTCATCCATTATTTAATTAGTGGACACTTTCTCGCACGTGCTGTCTGGAACTTATACCCGCCTCGCCGTGTGATAAATCACACTCTCACAGGTTCAAAGGTCATTGCGATGATTTACGTTAGCTACGTTACACTGAGCATTCATTTGTACATACCTAAATATATAGGGATTATTTTGGTCCTTATCAAACAATTGATAACACATTTGAATATAGACTTGAAAATAAACAGACATTCTGTGTTGTTATGGTCTCCAACTTCACTATATAATCAGATATGACAGAAACTGGAAACCACAAAAACATGGTCAAGATATTTTCGTCGACAATGAATCAAGGGAGGCAACTCGCATATAGTTTAAGGTTTGCGGCTAGAAAACATAATTAGTTATCGATTTTCAGGGTGATAAAAAAGAATTCCTATTCCTGATATATGCAGTATTATGCTGAACTTATTGACGGGATGGTCTGTTTTTCTCATGAGCTTAAAAAAAATTTGCAATCAACTATTTATCGTAATCTTTGACAAGTATTATTATTCAAATGCTGGAAAAGCACAGTACTACGATTTGTTATAAAAGATAATCATAATTTTCTGAAATTATTAACAAACAATATATAAACCTTATACTGATGAAAATGTTAAAAATTCACTTTTTTTTGTCTTACACTATCTGTATACATATAGTCAATAGAGTTTTGAATAATGAATAATCTTTCAGGTTTGTTACTCTGGCATATGGTCAGTTCACTGTATCCGTGGACCTTCAGAACTTTTAAATCTTAGAGATGAAAATTCAAGTATAAAGTTTTTATTGCAATTTATAGTACAAGATCAGGCAAAGTTTGAAATAAATTCCGTAAAATTAGTGGTTTCTATGGGAAATTCAACATTATTCTGTGTATAATTTCCATGACACACGCTTTTTAACTTAAATTTGCCTTTATTTATAATGGCGACACTTTTATGCCATGCTACATAGTGAATCACCTACCAAAGTAGGATATATACATATTTATATATATCGATCCAGACAGTCCCCTGTGAGATAATAGGAACGCTTTAGTAACGATTACAAGTTACACTTACTCACCTTGTTCCGCTATTCGCGGAAAGAGGCTAAATATAGATAAAGGTAATTTCCGAAGCTCCAGACGCCATTAAGGTAGGACCAACAACTTCATGTATCTATATATATTCATATTTATTATTGAACGATTCTTTAAACACTTCAACAGTAAGGATCAACCGTAATCCGTTTTGGGATTCCTCCACGAGACTGATTTATATCGGACGTTAGACAATGTCCCTTGTAAATGGGTTAGGATTAACAGTACATTGTTCACCGTCGCTTTCATGATATTTTCGGTCTCTGCTGACTCCTGCTTTAATTGATGTCATTGTTTATAAATAAATAAGTTTAAATTATCACATTACTGAACCAGCATATGTCACATCTATTGTATATTTGGGGTGAGAAGGTTCGATGAAGACGGTTGTAAACAAGGAAGTAAACTAAGGCTCTACGTGTAGACATTTTTACATGTTGTAATAGTGGGCGTAACCTTGTTAAGATTTACATATGTATACATTTCGTCCAAAAGGTTTGCCGTGTATTATTATCTCAGCACATTAAAAGCGCTTGTATTATATAGTAGAATCAAAACTTAATAAGAGCGTTATAAGATCGCTTTTATCAATACATTTTTTTTCTGTTCAGTCATGTGAGATTTTATCCTGGATTTTGTTCTCTCCTCCCAGAAGTCCTTAACAATTGCAAATGTTTTGCAGTGTCCTCTTAGTGTGCTTCATTTTTTGCAGGTATTAACATTAATGTACTCAAGAAGTGGTAGTATGATAGACAAATAATTTTGACAATTATGCGTGGGACAATGCGTCGGTTTTGTATACAATAACACTCATAATGATTGTGTTGAATGGTAATCCATTTAAATCACGGCGGTCTTTACATGGGAAATACTTATGTTTAATAACTAATTATGTAGATAAATATCATACATGCTCAGTCTGACATATAGGATTTTTTTTATTAATTGCCCAAATTTAATTCTTACATCTTTCAAGTAAGCTGTGTCTCACTGCAGACACGAGTGTGGTCTTCGTGTCTGCTATGACTTACATACAAAAACACACATATTTGAATAGTAAATTGAATTATACCCCAACCATTATTGAAGTCCATCGAATTACAATAGGAAGCATGTATCAGCTTGAAATGAGGACAGACTACTTTTAATAACACCAACGGTGCATACACGATATGGGGGAGGTCACTCAAAGGATTGAACCGTATAATCATTAATTTAACACCAATAATAATGGAATGTACTAACATCCACAAATGATGCGCGTTATACAGAATGATGTCAAGGGAAAAGACATTAATCATATCTGCTTAATGCTGCATTGTTTTTCCCCTTAAAAGATTCATGTTTGTAAATACTACCGATAACGCAATACAGGCTGTAATGGTCTACAAATACGCAGTGAGTGGAGCGGTCTTCATAGACAAGCTAAGCTTTATATTGACTAACAATGGATCTCGCCTAGCGTCATGCAGTTGCCGACCTGCCAAGGGCATCGCGATCGTTACAAGACAAGTCGCCCAAACTTCAGCGTACATTAGGTGCATCATGTTCCAGAACACCACTGTTGCAAACATTGACAATAAATGTAGACGTTTTTGTATTCGCAATATTACGGAGCCCGTTAACTGACATGCTCCATACTTATTTTATTTCGTTTTATCGAAATAATATTTCGTTTTTTTCGTTTTTTCGAAATAATAATTCGTTTTTTCGAAATAATAATAATTTGTTTAAACGAAATATTATTTCGTTTTTTCGAAATATTATTTTGTTTTTTGGAAATAATATTTCGTTTTTACGAAATAATGTTTTGTTCAAATAATATTATAAGTCGGCGGTTTAGGAACTCTCCTGTGTGGAAAAAAAAAACAACTTAGTCACTGGATATAACTGCTGTGAAGTGTGTGAGGTAAGTTGTGATTTGTTTGTTATTTTATTACGTGAAATATAGGGGATATTTGAAATATCTTGTTGGGCATTTGCGTATTATAATCTAGAAAGTATATCCTCCGTCGGACGCACTTTACAATAAGGTGGTATCGTAATGAAATTACGGAATTAATAGCTGATTAGTTTTCATCTATGTGTAGCTAGGATTACTGATCGGCTTCTGATGTTGAACTTCGACAGTTCCAGCTGGTCAGTATAACGTATCAGTATTAAAAGAGACTTTTATATGTTGTAATTAATCAAGGAACACATTTTATAAACGATGGAAATACACTATACGCTGACATTGGTGCGCATTTTGATAGCTTTCATCTTCAGTAAACAGGTCAATGTTTGTAAATTTGCTGCCCAGGTTCCTGTGATATATATACTGTACATTATATCATGTCATACTCTTTTTTGTTATACAGTATTTGAATCCAGGCACCTTTAATAACTATAGTAGAGGGTGTGTCATGATACATATGTAGGCCTATATATAACATGGGCATCTGTAATATGTTATAATATGATAATGTGATAATTAAATTAAATTAATTAAATTGAATTAATTAATATGATAATAATTAATTATATCTAAATACTATTCAATAGCTGTATTCCCACAATACAAGTCTTGATAAAATAGGGGATGTGAAATTGAGCAATTGTAGATTTTTTTTTACATCAATGTAGCTCAATGTAGTTTCCATTTATATACATAAATTATTAAATTTGTATTTCATTTTACATTCAGGATGGAAGAATTTTCAAAAGGTAGAGGTGTGGAAGAAAGCACCATCAACAGAATGACAGAAGACGGCGTAAGTACTATATCATATTATAAGGAATATTAATGCTGTACTAATTGCCCCACCATAAAATGAGGGGTGGGGTACGGTTATAAATATATATTGCTTTGACCATGTCTGTTATGTCCCTTCTAGTTAAATTCCATCATTTGACAGATTTTGCTAAAAACACAAGTACCAGTACCTGTATTTCAGGTTTCTAGGGTAAAAGTCAAGGTCACTGTTTATTTATTAGATGGATACAGGGTTCCAAGGCCAAGGTCACAGTTGCTATGTAGAAAATCATACCAGTTTAGTGCCATTTCTCTAACTCTTTCATTTCTTAGCCCGAGTTGTGCTGAGTTGTTGATACCGGGGTACACCCAGCGCTGAATTGATTGATTTCTTTACAATTATTTTTATTCTATCATAATTTATATAATGTTCTTAAGAATAGGAGCCAGTCACTGAACTCATTTTATCACCTACATAATGTAGATGTACCGTAGAAGTTTCATGGTCAGCTGGCCTATATAAATGCAAATATTTTTATGTTATAGGATATTTGTTGTGTTCATTTAAGAAAAAAAGACTAACTCTTTATAATAGTATATAACTACTACATTTGTACTTTAAAATCAGAGGGCCTGGGGAAATTTGAATACAGGTATTATAGTTCATTTTCAGGTAAATATCACAATGGCTATACTGACCTATGAATATCATTAAGACAGCAAATGTATTTTGTGCTTTTTAGCTCTCCATGATCTTAAGAAAGTTTTCAGTCAGTCTGTGAGGAATTTTCCTGGAACCATTTATTCTTACATGTATGTAGGAACAGATCTTGAAGGAATAATGCTAAGGTTTTAGGAATGTAAAGTTGAAGTAATCATAAGTGTTTTCAAAAAATTCATGTTGCAATAGAATTTCCTGGTCAAAAAAATAACATTGCAGTGTTTAGCTCACCTGGTCCAAAGCTCTAGAAATACTATAGTGTCCGTCGTCCGTCCATCAACAATTTCTTTAATCGACTTCTTATAAACTACTGAGTGGAATTTGATCAAATTTGGCTGGAAGCATCCTCAGGAAGTGGCTGACCCCAAGGAGGCCTGAGGGGCTGGGCCCAAAAGGTGTAATTTGGCCATATTGCCTTAAGCATCTTCTTCTCTGGAACTAAATGAAAGGCTATTGATCAGATTTGGCTGAAAGCATCCGCAGTAGGTGAGGATTCAAAAATGTACAAATTGTCAAGCTAACCCCCACCCTACCCTGGGCTGGAGTGGCAGGGCCCAAAAGGTGTAATTTGGCCATATATTGCTTTACGCATCTTCTCAGGAACAAAAAGGTGTTTTGGATTGGAAATTCTCTAAATGAGAAGTATTGACCCCAGAGGGAGTGTGGGGCAACACATGCAAAGACAGATACAACTCTTGGTCAGAAAGATCAAGGTGAGCGATACAGGCCCTCTGGGTCCCTTGTTTCCCCCAAATTAACATTGAGATACTCTCTTTGTAAATCATGTTAGTGTATGTTAGCTTAATTGTAGCTGCAGGTAGGGAATTGTAGTAATAATCAATATGTGTCTTACTGCTTGAGGTTCATGATGATGTGTTATTTCTTTTATTTCAGATTGAAGTAACTGTTGTATCAAATATGACGGCAGAACAGATGAGCAAATACTTACCTCGGTATGGTGATTGCCTTGCAGCAATTGCTTTTTCAAAGCAGCAACTTACTGTCAGTGAATCAGAAACTTCAAAAGACAGAAAGACAACATTACGCGACCGGCTGATAGCAAAATTACAAGGCCAAGGTAAAAAAAAAGTTGGTGAACATTTGAGAAGATCTGTCCCCCAAGAAGGGAACAAAAATGCAAAAAAAAAATGACCAGAAAAATTGAACTTGGATGGCTTCATACCTATGGGTCTTCTACGCTGAAACAAGTCAGATCACCAAATGGAGGTGGTACCAGAACTGTCGACATTGATGTGAGTGCAACAATTTCTGAACTGTTGAATATAGCTAAAACACTCTTTTTCCCCAATTGGAAATCTAAAAAGGGGTACGAGAAAGATTTCAACTTCTATATTGCAAATCAAGTCCAGGAAAAACAAGAAAACAAAATGACAGTCAAACAGATATATGAAACAACCAAGTTAAAGGTGCTTCGATTCTATCTGGTAAGTTCTCCAGTTGTTCCAAACTCAACAGACAACAGCATCACAAAGAAAACACAACCAGAGAACAAGGAAAAGCCAACTAATTGCCTTTCTGATACAAGCCCTTATATGGATGCATTATGTAGCAACTTTCCCGATGCATTTGAAGAGTTGCCAGACGTTTTAGATACTGATG